CTCAGCGTGTCCAGGGCTGGAGCATTTGGGCTGATAGCATGTGGCTGCCCTTCTCAGAGGGGGTCCGTAAACACCAGTCCCCACTGGGAACAGTGGGCCAGATTCACCCAGTCTTTCATGATGATGAACACTAAGTTTATACTCCAGGTTCTGTGTCAAGAATGATTAAAAACAAGACAACAGGCCCAACATGGAGTTACCTATGCTAAGTTCCATGTCATCAAACAGATTTCGTTGGCTTTCTCAGAAATGGATTCTTATGCCCGTCTATCAGGAGTCCTCTGATCAGCACTGGTCGGACATCTGGACCCCTGCCCCCCCTAAAGGAACGTGACCTCGTCATAGCCAGTCTTTCTGGCCTGGAGTAACTTTCTCGTCCTGCTCCCGTCTGCCTAGGAAGGTGACTCCCTTTGCACAGCTCCTCGGACCAGACTGGATGCCGCTTGACTCATGTGTCATGGAGTAAAGTGAGTAAGATCTCAAACATGTACTCAGTTAAATTTTTAACAGTGTTATTCACAGGTTTGTCATTAAAATCTTCACAACAACAATTATCAGGTGAGTACGAATATGATCCATATAATCTACACTTTACGATGGGCAGCCTTAGGACGAGCACAACCCCAAGACCCTGCCGCGGGGATGGAGCGAGGCTTTCGACCGGCTCATCTCCAGACTCCTGCTCCTAACCGCCGGGCTTTTCTGATTTTTGAATTATTTTTATCTTTCTTATTTCCAGACATACACATTTAAATTTTTGTTTTTTAAATCTTCACCTGAGGATATTTTTCCATTTATCATCAGATGGAGTGGGAGGAAGGGAGAGAGAGAAACATGGATGTGAGAGGGACACATCGACTGGTTGCCTCCTGCTTGACCACAGTCAGGGCTTGGGACCAAACTGCAACCAAGGTGCGTGCCCTTGACCAGAATCGAATCCGCAGCTCTTTGGTCCACAAGCCAACACTCCAACCACTGAGTCAACCATTTAAAATCAAGCTGTCTGGCTCGGCCGGTGTGGCTCAGTGGTTGAGCATCAACCCATGCACCAAGAAGTTGCCAGTTCAGTTCCTGGTCAGGGCACATGCCCAGGTTGTGGACCAAATCCCCAGTGGGGGGCATGCAGGAGGCGGCCAATCGATGTTCTCTCTCATCGATGTTTCTATCTCTCTCTTTGTCTCCCTTCCTCTCTTTTTCTAAAATCAATCAATAAAAATAAATAAATAAATAAAAATAAATAAAATCGAGCCGTCCCTTTCAAAGACTTCTCCTGTTTCATCGGCGTATTTCAGTTTCCAATAAATAGCATGCCCTGGGTTTGTATGCACATTCCCTTAGAGACCCTTCCTTGTGTTTTGATCGATTTTGCTCTTTTTTTCGTCTTTCCCAGCTGTCATGGGAAGAGAGACTCCTGTCTCTGCTTTGGTTTTGGGAGGGAGGAATAAATGTTCCCTCTACCCTTCCAGGGTCTGGGCTGAAAACTCCCCAGGAAAAGACAGACTGAAAAACAGAATTTAAATAACATGTATAACCTCCTGTATGCATGGGAGACCCTCAGGAAAACCGAGTGACTCCCCCAAACAGTCCAAGCCACCACTTTGAACACTGTCTTGGGAGGTTATCGGGAAACCACTGTGAAGGGCGCGTTGTTGCGCCAACATAAGCTGCACCTTCTCCAGGGACACGATTCCTTGTGGTTGAGTGATCCTGGCCGAGAGATGTCCGCACAAGTGGAGATTTCCCCTGTAGACACCCCTCACCACAGGGCCTCAGAGCCTCTCTGTGTCCCGTTCCTGAGAAATAGTTACACCAGCGCGGTGTGCTTGGAGCCAGCATGATCCATTCACAGCTGAGCAGGGGCAGCCAGAGGCTGAGCGGCTCGGGCTCCACCGATTAAGCTCCGGCCTCGCAGCTCCTGCCTGCTCTCTGGGGCCGTCTCTGCCACTCCTGCTGGTGGGGTGCTCCTGACCCCTTCCGTGGGGCACTGCCTGCCTTGCCGGAGTTCATTCTTGCCCCAATAAACTCCCCCGAATTGTACCTCAGTTAATCTTTTAAGTCTCTTAATGTGCAAATGAGGCTCCTTTCCGGGATCAGAGTTGGTAGTTACGACTTGAGCGCTCAGGTCTCTGAATTTCGGCCTGTTTGTGTGTTCATTGCTCTAAGCTTTTGTTCTATCAAACGGCAAAACAATCAAGGCCGCCTTTGATGTCCCGTGTTCAAGGGACAGCCACTCATGGATGGCGGGGCCTCTCGGGCAGTGTGCTTGGGGCAGGCCAGCTGGCCAACAGGCCCGGCGTCCTAGGTGGGGCGAGGTAGCCCCGTGGGCTGGAGGTGGGGCTGGCGTGCCTGCGACCTTAGCAGGTGTTTCCTGTGAGTGCAGCCCTGAGCTCTGCGGTGTGGGTGGGGCGCCAGGCTGCCCCTGCTGTGGCCCTGCTTTAGGGCATGATGAACTCTGTGAACCCACTTGATCAATACGCGCGGTGAAAGGCCTGGTGAACTGTCAGGTACTGGCGCCACCCGCCGCCCCGCTCCCTGTGGGCGTGGGAGTCGGACTGGACCGCGCAGGGCAGGTCCCTTGCTGGTTCTCCCCGGAGCTCGGCCTTAGGGAGGTCGGTCGTCTGCTCACCCTGCAGAGCTTTTGCGAGAACGCGGGCACCAGGGAGAGCATCACCATGACTAGAAGCCGCTCATGCCCACCCCAAAGCCACAGACCACGGAGTCAAGGCAGTCAAACAAAGACCCCATTGAAAACGCCACTTTCGGAAGCCAAGGGGCTGAGTCTCCGCTTCCCTGGAACTGCGAGTCCAGGGCACCGCGCGGTGTTTTCCGTGGGGCAGCGCCTCCCTGTCCGGCCAGCGGCGGCCGCGGGCTTTCCTTCACAAGGACGACTTTGACCGGGGACTCTAGGGGGTTTTGGGGGGCAGCTCTCCTGCTCTACTTACTCCAAGCCGGAGGAACAGGGCCTGCCAAGCAGCCTTTGGACCAGGAATGCCCACTGGTAACTCCCATCAGGGTCTGCTCTGCAGGTTGGGAGGCGCTGGCTGTGGACAGTGGCCCAGACCACAGCTCCCACCATTTTCGTCTAGTTGGACACCGAGGCCCCATGTGCGCAGGGGTGCTGGCCCTGCAGAGGAGCGACGCTGGGCCAAGCCGGTGACAGGAACAGAATGTGGGGCGACCCCCCCCCCCGTGACAGGAACAGAATGTGGGGCGACCCCCCCCCGTGACAGGAACAGAGTGCGGGGCGACCCCTAGGCTCGGAATTGGAAGATGACAGCTCGGGGGTCAGCAGGACCTCACAGGCACTATTGTTTTGGTCTCTCTTTCTGTCGTTTGTTAACTGCAGACAGGCCAGGGTTCGGGAGTCTGACAGGATAGACAGGGGCTCCCCTTGGTCCAGAGAAATGGACACTGGAAATCAGGGAGATGCTTGTAACAGGAAGGACTGCAGGGTCACAGCACCGTGGACCAAGCAGGGTCTTTGGTGGCAAAACCAGTGATTGGATAGGTTTCCCCTTTTGCAAGAACCTCAGAAGCACAGACGGGAGCATCATCTCTCCCCGCAGCAGAGAGAAAGACGCGTGGAGAAGCAAGTCCCCCGGAAGCGTGCCCGCGCCAGTGTCGGGGAGCAGTCTGCCTCACAACACCAGCAGCCCTTCCTCCTGGCGACCTTGATTTTGAGGTCTCCAAGGCTGGCAGAGGACCGGATGTCAGGCGGTGCCCTGCCCGCTAGTGGCCTGCGCAGGAACCTCGGGTCAACACCTTGTGACCTGCGTGGGTGGCTGAGAGCTCTGTGCATCGGTCTCCTGTGGACAGAAGTCAGGGTGATATGACGACTGTCCGTCAATGACAAGAGACTTGAAAATGTTCCTCGGTAAAGATCTGAGTTTGTCCCCGAGAGTCAGAGCTGGGTGGAGGGGTGGGGAGTGGCCGTTCGCCAAGCCTGTGGCCGAGGGCTGGGCTGTGGTGAGTTCTGAGGACCGTGGGCTCTGAGGTTGGGTCTTTGAGTACCGCAGCATGCTTCCTGGGAGGGCCTTTGGGAGGCAGTCCGGGGGAGGTGGGCAGAGCAGGTGTTCTGGGGTGCTGAGGGGAAACCCAGGATGGCGAGGAGAAAGAAGGAAACCGGCATTCGGGGCACAGTACCCTGCATGAGATCCCCTGCGTTTCCCAGAGTCCCTGAAGGCGGGTGGAGCTTCTCAGTCGAGGGGACGTTTCTGTGTCCACAGCTGGGGTGCCACTGGCACCTCGAGGCCAGCAGCGCTGCCAACCATCCCACAAGGCACAGACCGGTCCTCCGGAGAGGCATCGTCGGTCCCAGATGTCAGCAGTGCTGAGCAGTCCTTGGAGGGTCTTCCGTGTTCGGGCGAGGAAGCTGGAGTCCTGAGACCGCGGCCTCTGTGCCCAGGTGTGTGCCGCCCCGGAGCCGAGCTCGTCCACGGGGACAGAGCAGGGCGAGCTGGTGCCCCGCAGGTGTCGGGTGAACGAGCGAGTGAGCAGGAGCCCTGCTGGGGGCGGGGACAGTGAGGGCGAGTCACCCTCTTGGCCCAGCACACCTCTCCATCCTTGTCCCGACACCCCGAAAGTGAGTCGGGGGTCATGACCATGAAGGCAGGGCGGTGGTGGTGGGCGACCTCCAGCCTTCACTCACCTCGGAGGGTCAGTGCCTGGGACTCCAGGGGGACCTGGACGTGTGACGAGGGTCCCACACTCTCTGGGGTCACCTCTCCTGGGGACGCGGAGACAGACAGGAAGTCCCTCGCCGAGCCTGGCGACCATCCCTCTTTCTTGCAGAGGCCAAGGCCCCAGAGGAAGAGGAGGAAGTTGTTTCCCAGTTTCTAAAATTTCGGTGAATTTGGAGCTGGGCTGAGCCAGATTCTGGGAAGCTCTGAGTCTTCGGGCGGGGGGGCGGGGGGGGGGCAGAGGAAGGGGTGAGAGGGCGGGGCCTGCGGTGAGGCCCTTCTCACTTCCACTTTTGGGCTTCGTTGCAGTCTGTCCTCTGGGGTGCGACCAGTTAGTCTCGGAGGAGCCTGGCTGCCCCGGTGCCTGAGCCACTGCTGGAGAGGGCGATGGGGTTGCCCTCGCTCCTGCGCCCCCCTGCTGCAGCCGGTGACCAGGCTGGCTGCCCGCCCTGCCGCCCGTGGGCCCTGCTGCTGTGGGCTCTGCTGCTCCTGGGTGAGTCAGCGTTCCTGGTGGGACGGGGCCAGCGTGCCCCTTGGCGGGGCTGAGCCCGGGCGAGGATGAGGGCTGGAGCGGGAGGCACGTCAGAGGCCGAACTCTGATGACCTGCTGGCCTTGGCGAATTATGACCGTGGCAGAGTTTGGGATAAAAGTGTGTCCTTTGCCTAATCTCACTGGGCACTGGGGTCTCTGAGGCTCCACCAGCCCCGCCTCGGAATCTGCTCCAGGGGAAGTCTGGTGCCCTGGACTCGGATGACGGGGGGCCGGCTGTTCTCCTTCCTTGGAAATGTGTGTTTCTCGGGGACCCCATCTCAGATGGGAAGGCCAGTGTGTTTTCAGACGGGTGGAAAGAAACTCGAAGGCACACAGGGGCTGTGGTCATGCTCTGCACCCCAAAACCGACGTCAGGCAGCAGAGACCACTTCCCTTCCCTGGCAGAAGCACAGGGCCTGGGCACCCAGGACGCTGCGGCTCAGCGGACCCCCCGGGCGGTTCTGGGTCCATCCTGTGGGGACCAGAGAGATCGTGCCTGCTCGCGCCACACGGACTGGGGCCCCAGCCCTGAGCTGGAGAAAGCCCAGGTCTCAAGCCGAGGGGGGCTGCCCGTGCTCTCGCTGTGGGCCAGGGGCCAGGGCCGAGGGTGCAGAGGAGGAGTCCAGGGCGGGCCTCCTGGGAGATCCTGCTGCAAGGACTGTCCCCAAGCTCAGCGCCTGTAGCTGCCACCTCACCCCCTCAGGGTCTGTGCACAGGCCTCCCTCACGGGACACTCAGGTCGGTAACGGGACCTGTGTCAGCCTCTGCCAACGTCCCCGCCACTGGGCAGGACGGCCAGGCAGGCGTGTGGCGTGTTCCTTCATTCGCCCTCTGGCTGTGTCACCAAATCTGCACCATCTTTCTCTCCTTATCTGGGCCACCACATTGGATGTCCGTCACTGATGAGTCAGTTTTTACAGCGCCCTCGGACTCGGCCTAGACCACGCTGACTCCTCTCCCACCAAATCCACGCTGTCCTTGGAAGTCCTGACGTGGCCAGGCTGTGGCTGAGTCACGGGCCTCCGTGCCGTGCGGTGCCCGCTGCACCAAGCCCCATTCCACCCTCCCGACCCTGCCCCTGCCCGCTGGCCCCCTCAGCCAGGCGCGGCGTCCCTGCGCTTCCGGCTCCTCAGGTGCCACAGACCACCTGTGGCACCATTCAGTCAACGCTATACAGGCTCTGCTCTGGGGACGCAGCAGGCAGCGGGACAGCAGGCCGCCCTGCCCTGCCCACTGGGCTCTCTCAGCCTCACGACTGTCTGTGGAGCGAGTGAGCGGTGATTGGTTCTCTCTGCTTTCTCATCTCTTTCTCCTCTCCTCCTGCTCTGTCTCTGGGTCTCCAGCCAGTGCCCCTGCCCTGACCCCTACCAGCCCGGCATGCGCTGGGTTTCAGCCGTGCCCCCCATGCCGGCTCCCCGACCTGTGGCTCTCGCCATGTTCCCAGCTGCTGTGGGGACACCTCCAGATTGATTTGCCAGCTCAGATAAAAACAAAACATTCAGGATCCAACTGACTGCCCCCCCCATTCTTCCCTTCCTAACCTTTCCCCTAGTCGCCCACTGCCACCCCCCTGCCTCTTCGGGGGCCAACCTCTCTCCTTCGGCCTCTGAAATGCCTCACGTCCATCCGGGTCCTCTCCGTCCCCTCCTGTCATCACTACAACTCCAGGCTGTCCTGTCTCCCACCTCCGGGCACCCCACCCGTGATTTCCAGGGTGTGGCCGATGAAATCTGTGGCTACTGGAGAGCGCGCACCCTCCCGAGGAGGAACGAGCGCGGGGCATGGGTATGAGCTGGGAAGGGCCACGAGGCGTCAACAGGATGCCGTGATAAGAACACCTGCTGTGAGGGGACTGGCGAGTGGCCTGCCCGAGCGGGACGATACGGAGCTTCCTGCGGAGGCCACGCTGAGCGGAGACCTTGCGTGATAAAGAATGAGCCCCTTGGAGATGCAGAGGAAGTGGGTTCAGGGCAGCGGGACCAGCCAACTCAGAAGCCGGAGTTTGCGGCTGGTGTTACTGGAGCTCAGTGAGCCAGCCCCAGGAAGGGACCCCGGGGGCTCGGAGGTCAGGTGTGGCCTAGAACATACCGACACCTTATTGTGCGAGTGAAGCAAGGCCGTCGAAGGCTTGTAGGCAGGGAGCAGTATTATCTAATTTGGTACATTTAAAAGAACTAGCTTCTTGCCCGCCGGGTGTGCTCAGTGGTTAGTGCCGACCCCTGCACCAAGAGGTCACCGGTTCGATTCCCGGTCAGGGCACACGCCCAAGTTGTGGGCCTGGTCCCCAGCGTGGGGCATGCAGGAGGCAGCCAATCGATGTTCTCTCTCATCAATGTTTCTCTCTCTCCCTCTCCCTTCCTCTCTCTCTCAAATCAATAAAGAAAAATAAAATAAAATCACTAGCTTCTCGAACGGGTTGTAGGGGAGACAAAGAAGTGGGGAGATAAGTCAGGAGAGGGGAGAAGGCTGGGCAGGATCCAGGCTAGCGTGGTGGCCACGGCCACTGAGCAACGAGGGATCCAAGATCTAAGTCGGAGGCAGACTCTACAAGACCCACGGTGTGGAGGGGTGGGCTGTGGGAGGAACAGAGGGCGGGCAGGTCGCAGGCCAGAGAAAGTGTCGATGGGACACGGTGAGTGGAGACGGGAGAGAAATGGAAGGTGGCCCCTGACAGACCAGGGACTTCCAGTGGACAGGAGGGTGCAGACAAAACCGTGACCAGCTTACGTAGAAAGAAATGGAGAGTTCTGGCTGTGAAGGGAACAACAAGAAGTTTGGAATTACACTGGGGGGTTAAGTGAGAGAGTGTGCTTTTCGTGAAGGATGTCGGAGGGGACGTATGTTGAGAAAGATGTGGCAGAGGAGACGCTGAGACGCAGAAGAGGGAGGATGAGGGGATGCCTGGGCGGACACACTGCCCAGGGACGAGGGAGGAAGAGGAGATGCCGGTAGGCTGAGGACTGGGCTGGGAGGATGGAGAAGAGCCGAGCTGGGGGTGAGGGAGCCAGGAGCATCCCTCCCGGGCAGCAGGGCCTGCGCTAGGGAAAGGGGTGGAGCAGCTGCTCCGAGTCCTCGTGTCCTCACAACACGGTGGCTGCAGGTTTGCAGAGCCACCAACCTGCCGGCTCCAGACGGGGGAGGGCCAGGGGAGTCTCTGGGATCAGCAAGGAAGCGATTATTTGGACAGTGATGCATGACTCTGCTTTCTCTCCTACAGCTCCTGCTGCCGGGAAACCCGGTAAGTCCTGACCCCCCCGCCCCCCCAGCGGCCCTTGCACCCAGCAGGGTACCCAGGTGGAGCAGGGAGGGTGCCGCTCCCTCGCCCTCTCTCCCTGCTCCCTGGAAGCAGGGACCAGCAACAGGTGCAGGGGCGCCTCTGCCCCGGTTCTGTGCTGTGGACACGGCACAGATATTGTCACAGACAATAACTCCGCCCTCGACCAGGGAGTCCTGGGTTTGGGTCCCGCTAAGGGCATGTACTTGGTTGCAGTTTGTCCCTGGCCCTGGTTGGGGTCATGTGGGTGGCGACCACTCGATGTGTCTCTCTCACATCGATGTTTCTCTCTCTCTTCCTCTCTCTCCCCCTCCCATTTGATCTGAAGATAAGTGCAAAAATGTCCTCAGGTGAGGATAAAAAAAAAAAAAGAAAATAACTCTGCCCTCTCTCTCAATCGCCTTCCTCTCTCCAAATGCAGCCAATTCTACCCTAAAAAGAGCCCAGGCGACAGTGTTGATAAATCCTCTATTTTGCATGTACCTGAGGGCCTAGGGGCTTTGCCAGGAACAGGAGAGAAGCCACTGGCCACTGCTCGGGTGGGCGGACGGTGCCTTCTCACCGCTGCCGGGACCCCAGGACTGCGGGGGGAGGCCTCTCCCAGGGCCTGAAGCAGGCTCCCTGCACTGGCCTCGCGCTCTCCCTACCCTCTGCCCTGCTGCTGTGGGGCGGCAGGTGTTCTAGGGGATAAGGTAGGACGTGCAGTCAGAGCGGAAACCAGCGTCCGCCTCGCGTGCTGACCACACCTCCTCCGTCCTGCTCTGCAGTTTGCCATTGAGTCCCAACACCTAGGTTTACAGGGGAGAATGGGTGCTCACAGGCATGTGTGCACATGTGCACGTGCGTGTGCGTGCATGTCCATGCGCATGCGTGAGACACACACATGGACACGCACACGCACACGCACACGCAGAGGGAGGCCCTCAGTCCGGGGACTGGCCAGGTGCACCTTCACTTCTAGAGCCTGTGCCCGGCCCCTGGTGCCTCCTCGCTCCCCCTCTCCTGCAGAGGAGAGGAGGACTCCCCGGAGGCCCAGGGCCCGAGGGGGGGTGCGAGGCAGGCTTTGCCTGCGGTCACAGACAGCTCTGGGCCGCTGTCCTCCGTGTGGGCCGCTGTCCTCCGTGTGGGCCGCAGGATCCCAGGGGCTCCCTGTCGGAGAGTCAGGCTCCGTTTCCTTTCCTCATGCACCTCGCTCTGCCCCCAGCGGATCTCCCGAAGGCCGTGGTGAGCCTGGAGCCCCCCTGGGTCAACGTCCTGCGGGAGGACACCGTGACTCTGAACTGCCAGGGGGCCCAGAGCCCTGGGGACCGCTCCACCCAGTGGTTCTTGAACGGGACGGCCATCCTAGCCCAGGCCCAGCCCAGCTACAGCTTCCAGGCCAGCAGCAACGACAGCGGGGAATACAGGTGCCAGACGGGCCAGGCCAGCCTCAGCGACCCCGTGCATCTGGACGTGACTTCCGGTCAGTGGTGGGGGTTGGGCTAGGTGGGGCGGGGCTGGGTTAGGTGGGGTGAGGCGGGCCCCACGGGCCTGCCGCCTGACCCCTGCTGACGGCTGGGGATTCTAGGAGAGCCGGTGGCCTTTCCTAGGGCTGTGGGTCATTGGAAGTCATTTTCGCCCAGTCATTTCCTTCCCACCTTCCCTGTGGGTGCCGCACAGCACACCAGGTCGCGGGGCCTCGCTCCTGGTTGACAGGAAGGTGGTTCGGCCATCGCAGGCTGCCGGGGCTGAGGGAGGCCGGAGGAAACCCTGACCCACAAACGCCACTTCTCCAGCAGAGCAGCAGCCAGGCTGGGCCCCGGCCCTGGACGTCACCAGCCCTGGAAACAGCGAGCCCCTTCCCTGAGTCTCCGTTTCCCCTTTGCTCAGTGGGTGTCGAGCCCCCTGGGTCCTCTCCTCGCCCCGCCCCCGTGCTGCCCAGTCCTGACACAGGCAGGCGCCACAGACGTCTGCTGAGCCCAGGGATGACGTCACGCTGCTCGTGGCAAAAGCTTTCCAGGAAGAGCAGCCAAGACGTCGTGAGACAGGCCCCTTCCCTCAGCTCACGCCCAGACCGTCCTCAGAAGCACACAGCAGGCCAGGTGGTGCGACTCCCCCTCAGCCCAGCGGGAAGGGACAGGCCGGGAGGGAAGGCCTGGTGGCCCTGCCCCTCCAGGAATAGGAGGAGGTGAGGGGACCCACTGGGACAGGGAGTCCCCACCAACAGCCACACCAGGCTAAGGGACCCTCACATGAGGTGGACGCCGCCCTGGAGGCCCTGGGTCAGAGCACCTGCAGCTCCAGCCACCCTGGGCATGCCCGCAGGGGCCACTCGTACACAGGGGCCGCCGTGCACAGCTGGCTGTGTGGGCGCTAGGGTGCCCTGCCTCCAGTTCTCACTCGACCCCAGCGGTGGCAGACCACCACTGCCCAGTCCATGCTACTGGGACCAGCACCTCCCCGGCCCCACCCAGTCCCAGGCCACAGCTGGGAAACAGGACGCTGGGCTTCCCATTCCTACTGGGCGGTGACTGTTGTCCAGCAGGAGGTGCCATGTGCTCAGTCCTGGGGTCCACGTAGACCCAGGGCGAGTGCGGAACTGGGCAGCGAGGAACCCACAGGGCTCAAGCGTAGGCTCCACGGACCAGGCAGGCCCTGTCTTCACCGCCTGTCCCTGCGTCTCCCAGGCCTCTCCCCAGGCCCTTGCTGTGGCTCAGGCTGCCTCTGGGGCCTCAGGCTGGTCCTTCCGCCTCAGTCAGGCTGAGTGAGGCCGTGGCGATAGCATCCCACGGCTACAAGTCCAGGTGGCCAGCACCTGGGTGTTTAGGTCAGTTGCCTTCCTCAGGAGCGGCAGCTGTCCCAGGAGCTGCCCAGGGGGGCTGGAGCCCTGGCCTGCAGCCCACACAGTGACTGTGAGCCCAGTGGTCAGCAGGACGCGTGTAACGCTGACTCGGGCAGCTGCACCTGCCCGCATGCAGGTCCAACTCCGTGCTCCAGTTAGCAGCAGCAGCAGACAGCCTCAGGAGAAGCTGGTGGGGATCCTCCAGCAGGTGCCCCACCCGCCAGGGCTCCCGCGTGGCCGCCCAGTACTGACAGTGCCAGCTGCCCCTCGGCCACCAGGCCCCTGCTGCCGTCTCTGAGCCTGCCGGGCAGACCAAGCCGCTGCTGGACGGCAGGCTGAGTGTGGGGAGACATCGCTACAGTGGGGTCGCTGCTTGCTGCCCTGGCACCCCAGCAGCAGAGAGAAAGTTGGGCCAGCGTCCAGCGGAGATGTGAGCGCCCCCAGATGTGCAAGGGCGGCCACGCTGCCCGTGAGCCCCGCCCCCTGTAGTAGCCACGGTGCCCAGACAAGTGGGTGACTCAGACCCGCACAGGCCACTGGGAAGCCCAATCACTGAAGGCTTTTGTGTCCAAGGAGAAGCAGAACCGAGTGAGACGCTGGTGCAGACAGGACTGGGACAGGCTGAAAGGGAATGAGTCAGGGGCCCGGGCGCGGGGTGGGGGGGCCGCCAAGCAGACAAGAGGACAGTGTCCGGAGCGGTGAGTTTCCGCCGCCGGGAGGGTCTGTGCTGTGACTGCACCAGGAGGTGCCACAATGTGGCTGAAGAGAAAAACGGGGGAGCACCAGGAAGACAGCTGCTCACGCACAGGGGTGCTGCCTGTGTGAAGACCCGGGCAGGGTCACCCAGTCGAGAGGGCGCTTAGCCGGGCTTGAGGCATCCAGCTGCGACAATGCCCTCGGTCCAGGACACGGAGACCGGGCTTGAAGAACACGCCCTGGGGAGCCTCCAGCGCCAACACCAGAATCATGGCACCAGCCTTGTGTCCCCTCCAGCATGGGGGTGTAGAGGAGGGGTGTGGGTTGTACCCCTTCTCCACAAGGCTCCGGGAGATGGACGGAAACACCTTTTGTTACTCAAAGCAGAAGCTGGGCCCAGTCCCCGAGATCTGCACCAAGACGAGTGTCCTCAAGGACACCAAGGGGGCCCTTTGCATGAACCAGCCCGAGGCAGACACACCCCACTGTCCAGGGTACGACCTGGTCGCGGCAGAGACTCCGCGGGGAAGGAATGGCTGCTCCAGTGGCGTCCGTCTCTGCGGAGGCGGTGGCCCCGCAAGTGCGAGAGGAGCGAGACTGGCTGCGGGGGCCACCGGCGGCCGCTTTGACATTTCTCTGGCTTCTGCTCTACTTTTAAAGTCCTGACCTTTCTCGGCCTCCCCACCTGCCCTGACCGAATCCTGACGTAAAGGCAGCCGGGGGCACCAGGACCGCTCTGCGTGGCCTGCAGGGAGTCCACCAGGGTCTCGATTCTCCAGGAGAGGTGTATGTGGAGCACGAAGGCAGGAAAAGGGGGTGCAGGCGTGTCCCCAGCGGGAGAGGCAGGTGTTCTAGCTTGTGTGATGCAAGTAGCAAGAGCCCGGCATGGTCTCTCTGCGTGGTCCCCGGGGGCGGTGGCCCCGAGTTCTCTCTGTCGTCATTCTCCCCAGCACCCTGGCAGGCTCTGGGGCCGGTGTAGACTCGGTGGCCCTCATTCTGATCTGCAGCAGGGCCTGAGCACCTGACGGGGCAGGTGTGGCTTTGTCTCTCTCTGTGACCCCTGCCCCGTTCCTCTTGCCCTGCTGTCTCCACCCAGCTTCCTGTCCGATCCCAGCCCTGCTCCGTCCCAGAAAAGCCGTGCATGGCTGAGCCAGGACAAGCGTCCTCCTTCGCTCTGTTCCCTACACAACAGAACATTCACTGTTTGTTCTCCCTCAGCAAAAGGATGGAAACGGGCGGGGGGTGGGGGGGGGCTGCACAGCAGACTGAGGCTCCCCGGTGACACCGAGGCTTTGGACAGAGACTCCTGAAGGAAGCTCCATGTTCCCTAACATTTGTCAAAAGAGCTAATATCTGTGGGATGTCCATGACTTTCTATGATCCCCAAAGACACACGCCTCCTGCGTCAGACAGGAGCCTCCCTCCTGCCCCAGGTGCCTGTGGCCTAGGCAGTTCAGGGCTGGCGCCGCCTCCTCCCAGGACCGGCGATGTGCCAGGAGCATGGTGCCAGGTGTCCATTTCACGATGAGGGAACCGAGGCCCAGAAGTTAAATGACTTGACCAAGATGACACATTCCGCCCAGCCTGTCCCGCCCATCAGGACGGCGGTGAGTCCAGATCTGCGTCTTCCTGTGTCTTTCAGCCTGGCTGCTGCTCCAGACCCCTGGCCTGGTGTTCCAGGAGGGGGACCCCATCGAGCTGAGGTGCCACAGCTGGAAGAGCTGGTCTCTCTACAAGATCACATTCTACCAGGATGGAAAGTCCAAGCGGTTTTCCCACCGGAATTCCAGCTTCTCCATCCCGCGAGCAAACGCCAGTCACAGTGGCGAGTACTACTGCTCAGGATTCATCGGGCAGTTGTTATACAGATCACAGCGCATGAACATCACTGTCCAAGGTGGGAGCCCAGTCCAGGCGGAAGGAGGGGACGATGGTTAGGACCCAGGGGCAGTGACGTGGTCCTCCCCGTGGGCGCAGGGGCTCCCTGTGCTCCTGAACATTCCTGAGCACTGTTCTCATGCCCATCACTCGTTGGGCACGGCCTGTGCCTGAAAGATCACTGCTGGGCACAGTATGGGGGGCTCCCCTCCCCACGGCCCCTGAGATCGAAGGGAAGCCCCTCCCTCTGCAATGCACCTTAGGTTAGTGGACAGACCTGGGGATGGGGAGGCTCAAGTCCCGCCACAGAAACCCTGAGCAGCTGAGGTTGGGGGAGAAGGAAGTGCTGTCCCTGTGAGTGGCCCAGACACAGCTGCAGGGGACCAGCACTGGGCATTGCCTTGGGGGTTGGAGGGACAGGGAGCACATGGCCTGTCCTGAGTTCTGTCTTCCCTAGTGCCCGGCTCGGGCAACGACTTCCTGGTTGTGACCACGGCGGCCGTGGCCGTGGTCGCTGGCATCATTGCTGTGACTAGTGTGGCTGCCATCGTGACCTGGATCTGCTTCAAGAGACGCAAGAGTTCAGGTTTGTGGCTCTTCTTGGTTTCTCTCGTTACTGGCGCCTCCTTAGCCGAGGCCCTGAAACATTGCCAGAGACCTTCTCTTCGGGCTAGGAACCCTCAGCATTCAGACGTAACCCTGTGTGCTAGTCAGCCATTCATCTGTTAACTCCTTCATTCTGCGAGGCTTGAACGAACTTTCTTACGGGTGGCTCACCGTGCTAGATGCTGTGGACGATATCCAGAGGAGGAGGCCCAGTCTGCGCCCGCGAGGAGCTCACAGGCTCACAGACAGGGAGGCCAGACGTACAGACAGACTTCAGGGTTAGACGGGATAAGAGCGATGGCAGAGAAATGCGGAGACCATTAGAGACGCTTTCGCGGGGGGGGGGGGGCGGCCTGTGGTACGTCTCAGCTCCATGGCTCACCCGCTGTGTGACCCTGGCTGAGTTCCTCAACCTCTCTGTGCCCCAGTTCCTTCATCTGGAAAAGAGGACACTAACAGACGCTACCTCCCAGGGGCGCTATGAGGATGATGAGGCCGAAGCTCTCACAACAGTGGCTAGTGTATGGCACATAGCGCGTGAGCGTGAGATGCTGTCCTTACGGAGGAGGCGATGGTGGAGGGTAGCAGTGAGCCGGGCAAAGACAGCTGCTGGGCGTTCAGGTCAGGGACCACGGACGTGAGGACCAGTGTGGCTAGGACGGGGCTGGGCGTGGCGTGAGGAGGGTGCTGTCGAAGCCATGCGCTAGGAGGCAGTAAGAAGGAGAGAGGGGCGGGGGCAGACAGACGGGCACGGGCGAGGCCATGACCACGTTGAAGATCGATCTGTAGGGGTTTGACCGCTGTGTCTCCTGGGCCTTCATGTCCCCCAGCACTCAGCTTGCCACCCGCTGGGTGCTCGATAAATGGTTGTTCACTAACCAACCAGCCAAAGAACTTGGACTCGGGGCAGCGGCTTCTCCCCGCTCAGTACTAACGAGTGCACAGAGCTGAGGGAGAGGGAAGGCGCCCAGACATCTAACAGCAAATTGTCGCAGTGCACGGCCCTGAAAAGCTCGGAAAGGCTCGAGGCCCGAGAAAGGACGCGCTGCTAATTCCGCTCAGGATGGCAGCCAGCACTGCAGGTTCCGAGAGGCGAATAGGGAGACTTGGCGAGACACGGAGGGAGAGAGCAGTGCTTTCTATGTATTACTTATCCTCACCGAGGACATTTTTTGCCTTTATCTTCAGATAGAGCGGGAGGGAGAGAGGGAGAGAAACATCGATGTGAGACAGACACATCGAGTGGCTGCCACCCACACGGCCCCGGCTGGGGCTGGGGACAAACTGCAACCAAGGTACATGCCCTTAGCGGGAACCGAACCCAGGACTCTCCGGTCCGCGGGCTGACGCTCTAACCGCTGAGCCAAACCGGCCAGGACGAGAGCAGTGCTTTCTACAGGGCAGAGCAAGCCCACGGAAGAAGCCACGAGTGGCCCCTGAGCATCCCAGGAGCCCCCGTGGTTGGCTTAGCGACTCAGGTCTCTCTGGGCCGTCCTTTTGCTGTCTGGGATGGTCCCTGGGCTGCAGCAGGGGGAGCAGGGAGGGGAGCACCTGTCTGAGAGCCCAAGGGTCTGTGTGGGTCCTAACCCAGTCCTAACCCTGATCTTTGGTCCTGAGGACTCAGGTCCCACCCCATAATCTACTAACGTCCTGTGTGCCCTTCCTAACCCTCCCAGGAGCCCCTGAGAGCAGGGAAATAGGAGAGACCCTACCTGAGAAACCAGGTGAGTGCAGCCCCTCTGGGGCCCTGAGCCCCGCCTGGGGTTGCCAGGTGAATCGGAGCAGGAAGTGGCTTGTGTGAGTCCGCAGGGCACACAGGAGAGGGAGGGGGCGGGGGAGGAGGGCTGGGCTCAGATCTCTTGGTCAGTTCTGAGACTAACTCCTGGGCCTAAGGGGACCTCGCTGAACATGAGGAGAGGGACACCCGAGCCAGGTGGAGAGGGAGGAATGTGCCCGCGTCGGGCTTCCTGGGACTGGAAAGCTGGGGCATTCCCAGAGCAAGACGTGAGAGTTGGGTCTTTGGGAGAGTCAGCACAGGACAGGGGGCAGAAGATGGAAGATGGAGGCCATCGGATTGGGGGGCGGAGGAGGGAAGGAGGAGGTCTGGGGACAGCCTGCATCTGCTGAGGAGCCTGTCTCGGGGTGGTGGGCTCCGCTCTCAGAGGAGGCCCTGGGGGCAGCCGTGGGTGTCACGGGCAAAGCGTAGTTCCAGGCTTGTTGCCTGTGAGATAGATGGTCTGCCCGTCTCCATGGCCAGTGGGGCCTTGAGCAAGTCACTCCCTTCATGGGCTCAGTCACCTCACCGGGGAAGAGTCCCCCCAGGCCTGACAGTCTCAGGATCAGAGGCTGTGTCAGCCCTGGACCAGGTGGGACCATGGGAAGGGGGTTCCCGGCGACTTCCTGACCGTCAAGGGAACCAGAGCATGAAGGAAACCAGACAGCAGTCAGGCGGGAACAGGGCCCTCAGGGACCCCCCTCTACGGCCAGGGTGTGACTCAGAGGAGAACAACAGATCTGAGAGCTTAGCGGATGGCGCTGCTTCCAGCAGGGCCCCGAGCCCCGTGGCCGGGCCAAGCGGGGTGTGGGCCCGAGTCCACACCAAGGCCAAAACAGATGCAGATTGAAGCCCGAACACCATGAACTGGCCACTCCAACATGTGGCTCTATCTCCGGTGGCGTAACTGTGTTTCACAAGGCATTTATTTTGTAACCAGGACGGGCTGGGGCGGCCCAAAAGGCATGGCCGGGGTGCTGGGGGTGCCGAGGGTCTGTTCCAGGATTGGGGGCATGGCAAATGGACACTTTGTCCAAGGGACAGGGAGGACAATGCACGGTTGTCCCAGGCCCTCCCCCGCTTCTGCAGGTGCTGAGGCAGCTTTCGCGGGACAGGAGCATGAGAGATGGGGCTGTGCTCCCTATCTGCTGGTTGCTTGTTCAGTTCCTCCTTCCCTCCCTCCTCGTGCTGGCTCTTTCCTCTCTTGGGGTCACCAGTTCCTCAAAGTTCAAACAAGGGTGCATGTCATTGGCCAGTGGGCCCTGAATCTTCTCTCCCTGAAGTCTGCGGCTGCAAAAGTCCAGACTTGACCTCAGTCTGAGGCTGAGCTCCTGCCTGTGCCCAGGATCTCAGACCCCAGAAGCTGTCTACTTTGCCTCTAGGAAAACTCAGTACCTCTGAAAAGAACACGTCACACATGCCTACCTCCCCTGGGGGCTGCATGCTGCGCGGGGGTGGGGGGGCTGCGGGGGTGCAGCCTCGTGCACTGAGGTCTGCTTTGGCCGTGGGGGGGCAGCCGCAGGGTGCAGTGGGCTCCCTCCCACAGCAGGGCCCTGGCTGACCTGTTCCTTTTGCCCATAGCTCACCTCACCAATGCTGAAGAGGCTGCCAAAGTGGAGGTGAGTCACCCCCCCACTGCCTGCCCCTCCCCCCTCGCTGCCTCGGTGGCTTCTCCATGGACCCTGTTACCCCTCTGCTTTCTCTAGGCTGAGAACACAATCACCTACTCCCTTCTCCTGCACCCCGAAGGTCAAGGGGAAGACACAGATCCCCCGGATTACCAGAATATATAGACATGGAGCCGAGAGCCAGACAGGCCAGGATCAGCGTGTCTTCTAGCCGGAATCCCCCTGGGGGAGGACGAGAGGGTCCTGCAGTCCCAAATAAGGAGGGCTGCCCCGAGTTATCTGCATTAATGCCAAGGCCCCCTGTCCCGAGAGCCGCAGACAGCGTGGCCCCAGGTGACGGGCGCTCCTCGTCCCCCTCCCACGTCCACGCAGACAGTAATACTTGCTTTTATTAAGAGATTGTAGCAACATGGGAAATACTTAGTTAAAGGTTACATGGGAAACATTACATAAATACACCTGGTTTCAGAAATGTTGACACAGACTAACACTGCCGGCCTATTAAAGTGATTGTTTCACGGTGATTGAATTTCGGGTGCTTTTCTTCCTATACAGATCATGTATTACTTTTATAATAAAGTACTACGAAACAACATTCCCTTTACCTTTGTAAATTTTTTTAAAAATCATCACCAAAGGATGTGTTTTTATTAATTTTTAGAGAGAGAGGAAGGGAGAGAGAGAAACATGGATTGATTGCCTCCTGCACGCACCCCGACTGGGTATGGAACTCGAAACCTTTCGGTGTCTGGGACGACGCTCCAACCAACTGTGCCACCGGGCCAGGGCCCTTTACCTTTCAAAGGCTGTTTGGGTTGGAGTGTAGACTGCTCTGGGTCTGTTTCTCTTCAATGGTAATCTTGGGAAGGTAGAGATGGGTAGGAGGTGGGGGGAAGGGAATATTTGGAGAGGAGGGTGAGTATCCTCCTTAAAACAGAAGACTCTTCTTCCAGTGAATTTGCGTTATTTCCATGACTCCTTCCTCTTCCTCCCCCAGCAGATAAAACAATCACTCTGTTTTGCAACATCAGTTCTTAGGAAGCCAAGCTTCGGATGGGTCCTCAGAAGAGAATGCTGACTCTTCCTGCCTGTCCTTCCCCAACCACAGTTACCAGAAGGGCATGACCTCGGAGGAGCCATCCCAGGAGGTTGGGAACATGACCAGCAGCCCTCTTGGGGGTCTGGTGAGCACCCGGGGGAGGCCTCGTCTCCCAGGGACGCTCACACAGCCTCCGGGTGCATCGACTTTGCAGTCAGGATGTAGCAGCTTCTCTCTCTGGGCGGTTTCCGTGGTTTTCTAGGCTACATTTCACATTCTCACAGTCAGATTTCACACGCGCACAGTGTTATTACCACTGCAGTTACCGGCTTACTGGGGGCCACTGTTTTCAGCAATTTTAACTATGTCTTCTGTTCACGTACCTCCGTATTTCCAAACAATACAACAGGCTGCTATTTTGATTCTCCAGGGTTCGGTAGAGTCCATTTGGCTTCCCGATAAGGACGCCCTCAGAGGGCTGTTCTCACTAGACGTGTCCGCTGCGTTATCACTGCTCTGCACCTGCTCGTCGCCGCGCGAGTTCGCTGACTGCGTGTCCTTTTCCTTCTAGAGATAACAACCGCTTCGTCTCTGTCCCTTGTTTAGTTTTAAAACTACGGGCCTATTTTTAGCTTTTCCCAAAAAACTTCAAAAACATTCTGAAGCAGCTTATTGCTATTTCCCATAGGGTCAAATGACCAAGTCGTTTTCCCCCTACTTCCTTCCCTTCTAAGATTTCATCAGCAAGAAGCCCTCCTGAGATGCTCTGCCCTCGACAGTAATCTAGACGGGTTGCCCTCTCGGCCCTGCGCGCGCTGTCCGGGACGTCCTTCGTCTGTCTTTTGTTTTAAGCCCCCTTTCCCCTGAATCTTACATCTTCCAGTCTCTTGGTTTGCTTCCCTGCTTGGCTGGAGCACCTGGTGACGGTGCCAACGCCGGTGTACCTGCCTCAGACTCACCTGAGTGCACCTGTACCTGCTGCTGGGTCAGCTTCTCCTGCCGTAAGCCCCGGTGGGGAACAGCCGTCGCCTAGAAAGCGTGGCCCCCCGGGTGGGAGAACGGCCTGAGGAGCCTCACTTTCCAGCTATGCTTATTTCCAAAAGCCCTCCCTGATCCACCTGGGGCACTGAACCTAATTTCTCTGATTTCTGAACCTTCCCTGGGACCTTCCAGGAGAACAGTCCTCTTATCAGCAGTCCCCTCTTTAGGGGAATAAATCCAGTTCCCTGTGGCTGAGTTTTCTATCGCAACATGACCGAGGTCGGTGGACATCCCAATGTCCCTGTGTAGATAGTAAACAAAATATTGTTCAGTGGCTCAGTGCTAGACAGACGCCTGCATCTCCTAACCTGTTCGTCCTAAACAGACTTGTCCATGGTCTGTTGTTTACTGTTCTTTTCATGAACTACCTTTGGTTTTCTGGTCAAACCTTTCTTGTTTGCTGTCTGCTTTGTACACTGTGCTCTGTTCTGCATGCGTGATGATTTTTAGTCAATATTCCTTTTCTTATTTATGAAATGTTTGCATTTTTCAATAAGAAACGTATGGATTTGAAGTCGCCTAAGATGTTTTCCTCAGCTGCCGAGTCTCTCCGTTTACTGTGGTCCTTATTTCTCTTATTTTATTTTATTTTTTTTTTATCCTCACCCGAGGACATTTTTTTATTTTTATTTTTTTGTTCAGATAGAGTGGAAGGAAGAGAGAGAGAGAGAAACATCAGCATGAAAAGGACACATCGAGTGGCTGCCACCCGCACCACCCAATCAGGGCCGGGGACAAACTGCAACTAAGGTACGTGCCCTTAGCGGGAACCGAACCCGGGTCTCTCTGAGCTGCAGGCCGACGCTCTAACTGCTGAGCCAAACCGGCCAGGACTCTCTTCTTTTATTTTTGAGGAAAGCACTCATCAGAGTATGTAAATTATACAGGAATTTATATCAACAAGGTTACTTAAGACTTCTCCTCGAACACCTCGGAACACACATTTCTGTAATCTTAAGTCAAATAAACCCATCAGCTGATGATTTCCGGGTGCCCAGGGAAAATCTCTGTGTTTAGGAGGTCACGCTCTGGGTGTCAGGTCTGAGAACCTTTCTCCTAGCACCGGTATCACAGAAATTTCTCTACAAGCTGTATGGTTCATATTTAAGTCCATGATCTACTTGGACAGCTTTTTCGGGGACGTGAGTGGTGGAGGGCCACCTCAACTCATTCCATTTTTAAGTTTCACTGGGTTGGCCAGGGCTCACCTTCCTCTCCCGGGGCTGCTGGGTCTCACGCCACGTGACCTGCAGGCTTACCGCCTGGCTGCCTCCCTCACGCCCGCCCTCAGCCCGCCCTTGCTCTGTGGGGCCACCTGCCCCTCAGGTCATGGAAACTTTACTGTCAATGATTATTTTAGACTAGAGCTCTCTGCCTTCTCGGGCCACGTTGCTAACACATCTGCTCTGATCGGTGGTTTTACACGGCTCGAGGGTCAGGCCTTCTCCCTGCCTTTACGCAAGACGTTTCCCCATTTCTGGTGGCTCCTCTAATCTCCATGTAACCACTGAGGGCCTGGGGGGGACGACGGGTGCGGGGAGCCGAGGATAATCTCCATGAGAAGAGACAGGTCCCTGCTGTGGAGAAGCCACAAGCAAAGGGCAGACATCAGAGGCAGGGACAGAGGATCTCAGGAGGCCACCTGGCGCTGGAGGAGCTGCTGTGACCCCCATGTCGCCCCTCTGCCTGGATCCCCTCTGGTTTCTCAAGCTGCCCGATGCCTTGTGTCGCCAGTGACGTCGGGATCAGGGCTGAGCCTGAGCCTGGGCTCCCCGCTGGGTGCCTGGAAACTCATCCCCCTTCCCAGGGGGCTCTCTCCGGCTAATACTGATTCCCGCAGACACCCCGCCTCTGGTGCTGCAGACAGAGCTGGGACTCGCATCTGAGAAACTCGTGCGCAGACGTGCGGGGTCTGGGAGCTTGGAGCCCAGGAGGGACTCAGCTGGTGTCTGACCCGGGGCCATGACCACCCTCCTCCCTCATGTCCCGCTGCATCACCAGAACCTGGAAGGCGCGGAGTGCGGGGTCCTGCCCTCGCCCCACAGCGCCCTCGGAGGTGCTCCCTGTGGCCTTCAGGCGGCTTCCCGCCTCTGCCCGCCGGTGTGTCTCCCGTGAAGGGCATGGTAGGCCTCGCCTTTCCCGGCGCGTGTGGGAGGGTGGGATGGACGTCAGGCGGCGACATGCTTTGGAAACTCTCTGAGCTCCTCGGGCGATTCTGGACGTAGGGGGATGACGGGGAGCCCTGTCATCCACGCACAGCCCTCGGGGTGCAGGTGACCTGGAACCCCCGTGGCCTACTCTGATCAATGGAAGCCAGTCAGAGTTGAAAACAGGCCCAGATGCGAGGAGAGGAGACAGTTAGACTCACTTCCTCTTTTCTAATTTGAGAGGTTTCATGTTGACGAAAATCAGGGTGTGTGAGGCTGCAGACACCTTCACAGTCACCATGAAGCCGGGCGGTGTCGCCAGGGCCCGCGTGTCTCCTCCAGTGTTCTGGGCAGCCCGGGTGCTGCTGGGTGAGTAGCACGCTGGTGGGCAGGCCGTGACCTGACCGGGGAGGCCCCACAGGAAGGCGCGTGGACGGCCCTGGGCCTCCCAGGAGGGGGTGTTCGGGGGAGGTGAAGTGCAGGACCCGCCGGCTCTTTCTGAGCATTAAAACCTCTAGCCTTTCCCGCCCGGTTCCGAGACCACGGTGCCCTCTGCAGGGTCTCAGCCCTGTTCTTCCTCTTTGCAGACCAAGTGCGTCTTCACTGGCTCCCCCGCAGCCTCCCTGTCACTCGGTGCCCACTGTCCCACAGCCTCTGAGCCACTTGACCCAGGCGGTGACGTCTGTGCCTGATGGGCTTTCACACCCTGTGCAGTTTCCGCTGTGCCGGCTTCACGCTGCTGGTCACTCGCGCCCGCCTCACCCTCTGCCCCCGCCGCACCCTCTGCCCCCGCTGCGCCAGGCCCGGGCGTGCTCCCTGCGTCCTCCCCACCTCTCTCGGTCCCTGCTGTGCCCCTCGCGCTCCCGGTGGGGCCTGTTTGCTGGTTGCCTCCTGGCCCACCTGCTGTTCTTCCTCTGCTCAGTCTCCCAGCGCTTCCGTCAGAATCGAGTCCACCTCTGCAGCCGGGTGGGTAACCGGGTGCTAAGTCACATCTCCCGGCCCACACCCACGATGGAGGGTCACGTCCAAACACCCGCTCCCACGGGACCGACCCCCGGCCCGGCGCCCAGGCCGTGCTGCTCCATGGGGCCGGAGCTGAACTCACCGCCCCTTGCCTGTCTCTCTATTCCGCCTCTCCCCAGCCACCCAGCCACGGGCCTGGGGACAAGCCAGACCCCCTGCTTGTGCTCAGTGTCCGGGAGCTGGTCCCTTCCCCTCCGGGGGACGAATGGCATGCGAGGACCAGCCCTCATCGTTTGTGACTGGGGCTGTTCCAGCAACTTCCCCGCTCACCATCCTGTCTCAGCCTTGTGTCCCTAAAATGAGTTCTGCACTCAGCCAGTGCACGTTCCTTCTTGTGGGGCGAAGCCCCCCAGGTCACCTCTGCAGCCTCTGTGCTCCCCCGAGACCCACAGGTGATGCTCCGGCAAACCCCGGCCGCTTATTCACACACACGCCAGATCCCTACCTGTCTCCCAGCTTGGCTCCCTCTCCGGGGGCCCCATGGCTCCTGTCCCCTGCCGCTCACAAACTGGGCATCCCTGACCCCTCAGGCCTTCTCCTCATGCAGAGACAACGTGTGCCTTCCACTAAAGGGTTGTTTGCATGCTTTTATTGAGCTTTTCCCCCTGTAGGGAGAGGAAGGGAGAGAGAAACATCCATTGGCTGCCTCCTGCACGCCCCCTGCTAGGGGTCAACCCTGCAACCCGGGCATGTGCCCTGACCAGGACTTGAACTGGGACCTCGCAGTCCATGGGACCATGCTCAACCCACTGAGCCACACCGGCGGGGCTCGGTTTTGTCTTCTACCCTTGTCTGATGGCTCAGCACCTGCTTCGTCGGCACCCAGTGACGTAGAATCGTTCTCCCGAAGGCAGAGACAGGGCCGGGTCACTGGGTGACGTCCGACTCTCGGCTCCCTGCTCCCTCTTCCCTGGACCGTGTCACTGTGGAAGGGCCTCTGTTTATGTCTCGGTCTGGTTTTCTCATTCCCCAAATGAGGAGGAGGACGCCCCCCACGTAGTTTTCTGAGTGCAAGTGCCGGGTAGCCCGACAGCTTGCATGTTAAAAAAGGAGAAGAAGTTGAGTCCGGCCGAGTGACTGAGGAACCGAGAAGGGGCGGCCAAGTGGGGAGCAGGCTGGAGAGGATCTGAGGACAGCACCTGGGCCTGGGGGTGAGGAGGAGAAGGGCGAGGGGCCGCAGCAGGGGAAGTGATAAGTCCAGGAGGGTGTGGGGCCTTCGGGCGGGGAGGGCCAGGAGGCAGGGGACAGAGACTGACGGGGTGGAGAACGGACACACGGCCGCAGGGGAGAGACGCGAGGCATCGTGGGGGTGGGAGAACGGAACTGCTGCCTGGCTCAGCCACGCACTGAGAGGGGGGTTGAGGAGATTTGGTGAGAAATCCAACCCCAAAGCAAAGAAGGCTTTGCTCCGTAGTCACCAGGACTGGGAGAGGCTGGGGGGCGGGACAGTTCAGGGGTCAGAGGACATCGGGGTCAGAGGACATCAGGGCAGAGATGGCTGGACCATGAAGACCCGAGAGTGGGAGCAGGAAGGAGACACAGCTCGGGCCCGAGAGCCACTGGTGGGCAAGAGCCAAGGGAACTTTGGGGCTGAGACTATGGAGGAAGGTCCCCAAGGACCTGGCTTCCCTGCCCCATTCCCAGCCCTGTTTAACCCGGGGGTGCGTTAACTCAGTTTTCTAAGCCCGTTTCCGAAAGGCGTGTACACGGGGTGAAACCACACACCTGGGGTCCCCGTGATGATGAGATAGAGGAAGCGTGGAAGAGCCCGGCCTGTCGGGCATGATAAACGCCAGCGAGCGTCAGAACTGACCATCTCCCTTCCCTCCTGCCCTGTGTCCGCGGCTCCGGCTCCGGCTCCGGCTCCTCGGTGGCCTCTGCTTTCCCTGCCCACAGCGGCTGGCTGCCAGGCTGGTGAGTGCAACCCCGTCTCTCCCCGCTGCTCCCCCAACCACAGCCCATTCACTGAGGTCCTGGGAGCCAGGCACCCTCGTCACAGGCCCTCAGAGACCCCGTGGATCTGTTGGGAGGAAGGTTCGGGTGTCTCCCTATGCTCACCCTAGAAAGGGGGGAGCCCGGGGGGAGGAAGAACCTGCTGGAGGGCCCTTTTCTGTCCTCTTATGAAGTCACAGCATCATCTTCTGGTTCTTCTCCAACTGCGCCCTCCTCAGCCGCCAGTTTTGAGGCGCTGCAGTGTGAAGGACCGGTCAGCACGGCGGGCAGTGGCTGCCACCCTGAAGATGACCTGCAAGGTTCCGGGGTTGGCTTCCAGGCCAAGGGCTACATGTTCAGCCAACCCTTCCATCTCATTGTGTCCTACGGTGCGTCCTGGGCAAGGCTGACGGGTGCAGGCCTCCCCCCTCCCATTTCCCAGACCTCCCCTTTCCACCCACATTCCCCTCGGGAAGGAACCCCCAGGACACTGCCCTCGATGACACCCCTCCCCTCACATCTTCATCCCACAGACCAGGGTGCCCTCGGTCCCAGGCCCTAGAGAAGCTGTTGGGGTGAGAGTTACCTGGGCCCTCAGAGGAAGCTTGGGGTCTGTTGTGGGCAGCACTGAGGGGCTCCCACGAAGGCGGTGGGTGCCACTCAGCTCTCGCTTTGGGTCACAGATTGGCTGATCCTCCAAAGCCCAGCCACTCCCCTATTCGAAGGGGACCCGCTGGTTCTGCGTTGCCAGGCCTGGCAGGACTGGCCACTGACCGAGGTGACCTTCTACCGCGGTGGCTCCGCTCTGGGCCCCCCCCAACCTAACAAGGAGTTCTCGATCGCCGTGGCACGAGAGGAGGACAGCGGGAACTACCACTGCAGTGCCATCTTCCAGGGCCCTGGTCCGGGGAGCCCAGAGACGGCGTCCTCGGTGGCCGTCACCATCCACGGTGAGCACTCGACGCGGGTCTCTGCGGCAGAGCAGGGGAGAGACGGAGAGACAGCATCTCTCAGCGGAGGGGCCGGCTCGCCGCAGACCCCCGGAGTCCACATGCTTCTGGTCCTCCATCTGCCGTGCTCAGTGTCCGCAGGTTGTCTGTCTGGACACCGGTCAGACCGCCTGCCACGGGATCTGGTCCAGCCCTATGCAGGAGCCGGCAGAGAGGACCTGAGAGGTTTAAATGGACCTTTCCCGACAGAATGTGTGACTGTGACTCACTCTCCCCGTCTCTCCCCCAGAACTGTTTCCTGCCCCCGTGCTCAGGGCCTTTCCCTCCGCTGAGCCCCAAGAGGGAGGTGCCATGACCCTGAGCTGCCGGACGAAGCTGCCCCTGCAGAGGTCAGCTGCCCGCCTCCTCTTCTCCTTCTACAAGGACGGCCGGGCCGTGCGGGGCCGGGGCCCGTCCCCAGAGCTGCAGGTCCCTGCCGCCTCGGAGGCCCATTCCGGGTCTTACTGGTGTGAGGCCGCCACCGAGGACGGCCAAGTTTGGAAAAACAGCCCCAAGCTGGAGGTCAGGGTGAAGGGTGAGTGGTGTGTCTGTTCGTGCCTGTGGAGGGGGGCTGGACGGTTGGCTTCTGAGCCTGGTTTCGTGTGTGCAGATTTACAAAGGAGCGGGAACAAGGAGCCTAGGTCTCAGGGACTTCTGCCTCACCGTGTGACACCTCCCCAAAGCAGGACCCAGGCCAGCCCCCCAGCTGCTGCCTACAGGCCTCACCCTCCCAACAGGAGCTCTGTCCCTTGGAGTTTGGTATCTAGAGCAGCGGCTCTCAACCTGCAGGTCGTGACCCCTTTGGGGGTCGAACGGCCCTTTCACAGGGGTCACCTAAGACATAACAGTAGCAAAATTACAGTTACGAAGTAGCAACGAAAATAATGTCATGGCTGGGGGTCGCCACACCACGAGGGGCTGTGTGAAAGGGTCGCGGCGTCAGGAAGGCGCAGAACCTCTGCTCTAGAGGAAGATGCATGTCTGGAGTCACTGTTCCGTCCAGGAGCCCCCATTACGGAGGCTGCTCCGACGTGAAGTGCAGGGAGGTGTCCAGGGTGACTAGAGGGCTGGAGACCAGGCCGTAGGAAAGGCGGCGGAAGGGGCAGCAGAGGCTGGCCTGCTGAGGAAGTAGCTCGAGAGGCCAGCAGAGGTGACCTCCAGATGCTGAGCTCACGGAACGAGGGCTCACACGCCCACACACAGTGAGGACGCTGCGTGACGTGTACAGGGCGGGTGCTGTCCCAGTTCAGGAAACAGAACCCCAATGTCCACAGCCGTCTCCTGCCCTGGCCCCACTGCTGAAGGTTTTCAGAGTTGGACTCAGAGGGACACGAGGGTCCTCAAATCTCTGCTGCCCTGGGCCCCACAGCCACTGTCAGAGAACAGTAAAGACAGACCAGGAGGGTGAGGGTAGGGCCAGGCTCAGACATCTCTGGTCTATGTGTCTCTGGCCCCACAATCCAGGTCCCTCGAGGGCTGGTGCACCGCCCACCTTGAACCCCTCTCCTCGGAAATCAGCAGCTCCGGGAACGCCTGATCCAGAGCCCCCCAGGCCTCCGCCTCCGCCGCCCAGTTCTTCCTCCGAAAGTGCGGACCACCCCTCCCCTCTGCAGGCACCTGACCCCCACCTGTACCACCAGATGAGCCTTCTCCTCAAACAAATGCAGGATGTGCAAGTTCTCCTTGGTCACCTGGTCATGGAGCTGAGGGACTTGTCTGGCTACCTGAAGCTGGAGTCCAGGAAGGGTCATGCCAAACGGGCATGAACAAGTCACCTGCAGTCCTGTTCGGACACCCGGTGAACCGCGTGCTCTCTGCTTCTCGCTCTCTGTCCTGCACCTGCGCAGAGATGCCCCCGTTGTCTAGAGTCTTTTTAGAGTGGGAGGTGGGTGAGGATGAATAAATTTGTACCAGGAGACGAGTGGACTTGGCTACTCCTGTGCACCCTCTCTTGACATGACATCAGCCTCTCCTAACGCGACGTCAGCCTCTCCTAACGCGACGTCAGCCCCTCAACGCGACGTCAGCCTCTCCTAACGTGACGTCAGCCCCTCAACGCGACGTCCGCCTCTCCTAACGTGACGTCCGCCTCTCCTAACGTGACGTCAGCCCCTCAACGCGACGTCCGCCTCTCCTAACGCGACGTCAGCCTCTCCTAACGTGACGTCAGCCCCTCAACGCGACGTCCGCCTCTCCTAACGCGACGTCTGCCTCTCCTAACGCGACGTCAGCCTCTCTGCGACGTCAGACTCTCCTAACGCGACGTCAGACTCTCCTAACGCGACGTCAGACTCTCCTAACGCGACGTCAGCCTCTCCTAACGCGACGTCAGACTCTCTGCGACGTCAGACTCTCCTAACGCGACGTCAGACTCTCCTAACGCGACGTCAGCCTCTCCAGGCCAGGAATTGCCTCCTGGTGCCCAGGCAGTCAGGTGACTGGAGAGAAGCAGAGAGTAGTGAGTGGGCAGTCTCAATGGGGCAACACTGCCCCGCCCAGGGAACATTTGGGGTGTCAGTTTTGGGGGTGCTACTGCCGTCCAGTGAGTAGAACACCAGGGCGCTGCTACACATCCTCTAATACATGCAACAGGCCCCCTCCCTGCCCCCAAGAGTTCTCTGGCCGCAAACATCACCAGTGCTGAGCAGGGAAACCCAGCCTCAGGGAAGCTGGTGTCCGACCCAGGGAGGGTTGCCTCTTTGACTGACGGCCCCATCCCAGCCTCACTCAGCAAGTATTAATGAATCGGACACTGGCATTTGGTTGCCTCTCCTACTGCCCGAGTTTATGATCTGCTGGGTGTACACACAAGTCAGCGTCTCTGCCTGCGGCACAACCAAACACCTGCCCGGGAAACGGGTGAGGCTGGAACTCCCCGCAGGGTCCTCTGGACTCGAAGTCTGTGCTCCAGCCCATGGTGCTGGGGCTGCAGTGATTTGTTTTTATGACTTTGTCTCCGAACTATTTTTCTTTAAAAACGTACATAAATCTTTGTAAGACCATGACAATATTCTCCTGTGCGTGGACACTCCCCGCAGTGAGAGCCGACCCGACAGGCTCCACAGTAACCTCTGGTCGGAGTCCGCACACGGTTTGATGTGGACCTCAGCCCGAGGTCTCCAAATCCGGGGTGTGACGTTACCCACTTCCTCTTTTGTGTGCCAACTATTCTGTGCGTAGTTTGACCCACACTGACTTACAGAATATGCGCATGTACCTCCCCCAGTCAGCCACAAGGAACAAGGGGATGGGCCCGGCCGGGGGGTTCAGTGGTTAGAACAGCATCCGGACGTGCCAAGGTTGAGGGTTCCATCTCCCATCAGGGCGCATACAAGAATCAACCAGTGGCCCGGCCGGTGTGGCTCAGTGGTTGAGCATGGACCCTGCACCAAGAGGTCGCTGGCTCAATTCCCGGTCAGGGCACATGCCCAGGTTGTGGGCCTGATCCCCAGCGAGGGGCGTGCAGGAGGCAGCCAATTGGTGTTCTTGCTCATTCATGTTTCTATCTCTCTCTCCCTCTCCCTTCCTCTCTCTCTCAAATCAATAAAGAAAAATATTTTAAAAAAGAATCAACCAATGAATGCATAAATAAGTGGAACAACAAACTGATGTCTCTCTCTCTTTCTCTCTCTCATCCTCTCTTGCTCTCTCAAATCAATTAAAAAAAAAGGGAAACAAGGGAATGGGATCGTGCTGGATGTTAAAGGGCGAGTTTTGTGGCGTGGTGTCGGCGGAGCACGTGGCATGATGCCTGTCACACGTGACAGCGAGCGGCGTCATGCTCGTCACATGCCCCCGCCCCCCTTATTCACAGACTTTTATCAGATGGTGGCATATCTTGTCCAGGAACTAGGTCGTGATATCCCGGGGAGGAGGTACCAGGCGGGATGTGGGGGTGAGTCCCAGAGCAGGCAGTTCGCCGCTCCTAGGTCCTGGTTCTCCACCCTCACCCCCAGCTCCTGAGCACCTTATCAACACTGCCTGCCTCCCGACCTCTGTGATGCTGTCTCTTTTATCAAAAGCTGCTCTCAGAACAGGACCTGAAGGGGCCAGTGTAACTGAAACAACCCATTTTCCTGAGAGACATTTGCACTCTTCACAAGGACTAGCACCTGCAGAGACACGGGGGGACTTCTCAGAGTGGAGCTCTGGGTGTCCCGGGGCCAGACGGGAAGGGGCCATCTTCCACGGGGCTGACATTGTCAGAACTCCCAGGGAAGGGGGTGCTCCAGCCGCAGGTGGGGACAGGGACTGTCCAAGGGGACACACTAGCAGGCTGGAAAGTTCATTAAGTATTTAGCTGAGAATTCGGGCTCTGCTTTGCTCAGGGCAGATCACATGGCTCGGAAAGAACTGGAGGTCGGACCGGGGGAGTTTCTGTGGGGCTGACGCAGGGACTTCTCTGCCCCAGGTGAGGGGAGCTGCGGGCGTGGCCGGGGGGTGCAGGGACGGACAGAAGGACGGAAGGCCCCAGTGAGCAGAGGTGCCACAGGGTGAGGTTCACTGCGGCGGGTAGGAAGGAAGAGTTTTCTAACGTCTGAGGGTTTTGGGTTTCAGGAAGGGAGAAAGAAGAGTAAACACATCATATTTCTGTCCCTGATGGGGACACTGGAGTCCTGTTGTCCTGTCTGCTCATCTGTGGGAGGGTATGAGCCCTGGGTGCAGGAGACCCGATGTCAACCTCATGCTAAGGCCCAGGGTGGACCCTGAGGCCATGAGGGTGTGTCTTCCTCAACTGAGGCTCTCAGGACCAGTTACATGGTGGGTGGCAGGGTCACCTGCGGGAGCCAGGCTGTGCTCAGGAGGTGGGTGGCAGGATCACCTGCGGGAGCCAGGCTGTGCTCAGGAGGTGGGGGCAGGGTCACCTGCAGGAGCCAGGCTGTGCTCAGAAGGTCTTCCCCACAGGCACTGGGGCTGGCATGAGATGTGAGGTGCTCGCCCGTGGTCGGTGACGCCTGAGGCTTGACTCACACCTGGCCCACCCTCTGCAGGAGTTAGGGACAGCGACGGGATGACATCTGCCAGCGCTCCGTGCTCAGCGCTGCTCCGTCTGTCTCTCCCCCTCAGGTGGCGCCTCCCTCTCTGTGCAGCGGCTGCAGGAGGTTCATCATGTGGACGCTGGCAGCCCTCCTGCTCCTGGGTGAGTCCGCGAGGAGGCAGGGGACGCGGGGCGATGGGGGAGAGTGTGAGCTGGGGGACATGCGGTCCTCAACTCCGAAGAGTTCATCATCTTGGAGAGGTGGAGGGGGTGCTTCTCGGAGCTGGGGCGACTAAGGCAGAAGAGGAACTGGACAGGATTCCTGCTGAGTCTCTTCTGTGGTCAGGGAGCCCCTCCCTGTCCTCACCCTCCAGCGGTCTCCTCCCTCCCTCTCTGATTCTGTTCTGCAGCTCCAAGCAGTGGACACGCTGGTGAGTCTCACGCATCCCTCATCCGTTTGCCACGCCTTCCACACTGACCCCTGAGTGACTGCTCGGCTGCCTGGGACAGTGTCTTTCCCACCTTGCCACCCTCCCTGTGATTCAGCTTGTCTGCGGGCACTTAGACCTGGGGACTAACAAGGGACACTTTATCATGCGATGTGGTCTCTCCTCCCGGAGGGATGGGTTAGTGACGTGGGCTGGGTCCTGGGAGCTGGGTTTTCTGAGATTTCTCAACCTCGGAGCACCTTTGGGTGCCTCACCTTGATCCTCTTTACTACACTGTCCCCTCTGACACACTCCCAGCTACCCTGGAGAAGCCCACACTGTCTCTGCACCCGCCCTGGACCACCATCTTCAAGGGGGAGCGGGTCACCCTGCGGTGTGATGGGTACCACCCCCTGGTCCTGGAGCTCCGGCCCATCAGCACCCTCTGGTACTTGGGCCATCTGCTGCTGCCCTCTCATGGGAAGAGCATCGAGGTGCAGGCCCCAGGGGTGTACCGGTGCCAGACACGGGGAGCGCCCGTCAGTGACCCTGTCCACCTGTCTGTGTCCAATGGTGAGTGCACACATGGCACGGAGAGGTGCGGCGGCTAGCCTGTCCCCAAGGGTCCCCTCACCCTCAGCCACAGTGGGCAGCAAATACACATTTTTGTTTGTTTACGAGACCAGCGCTGATCAGTAAAGCAGGGACAGTAGAGCGCTTGCCTCTGGTCACAGTGAAGATCAAAATGAATTACAACCTGTTGTTAGAGAAGCACCTGAATAGAGTACTTTGTCAGAGTTCCACTACGAACATGTACACCTGTGTACTTAGGGGCCAACCGAGACCCTGGCCCCGGGGATACTTACGGGGCTTCAAAACAGGGTGAGGGACAAACATTGGTTCATCAGGGCCCAGGATTGGCTGCTTGGCGGGGAATATTATGTCATCTGGGCCCCGGATGCTACAGTCTGTGTTCAGAATTTAATGATCACCACTCAGGGCTCAGATGGGCACTGAACACACACATCGCCACGCTGCATCTCTTGGTTGGAAACTACAGTGAGTACAGGTAGGGCACTGGTCACGATCGACAGTGGTGGCTGCTTGAGAACTGAGAGCTCGGGCTGTGGCCGGTACCCACAAATTCGTCTCGGTGTAAACACCTGCACTGCACCTCACACGGTCTAGGGCACTCAGTGTCGGCTGTGGTGGCCACGGTGGACACCGGGTGCGGAGGGAGGTGCCCCAGGCTATCCTGCAGTCAGGGGAGCTTTCTGGAGGAGACGCATCTCAGCCTGGACCTGCAGGTCAAGGGGGCCCCGACCACAACGGACAAAGGGGTCTTTCTGGCAGAGGAAGCAGCAGGTACAAGGCTCCGGGCTCCTGGCAGGGCCAGTTTCCCCGCAGAGTGGGTGGTGGGGAGGTAAAGGAGGCTGGGGCAGAGGAAGGTAAGCAGAGGACAGGCAGGCAGGCCCTGAGCCGAGCTGAGGGGGTTGGTCTGGATGCTGCTGGACACTTCTCTTTGAGGCTGGAACCAAGGCTCAGGCATCTTAGCCCCCTTCCCTCCCACTCACCTCCTAGAGCATCCAGTGCGGAGGCTCTCAGTAGGTGGCGAGCTGGGACGGGGAGCGAGGGCGCCTGCGGTTCCGGGTGGGGAGCAGAGAAGAGCGGAGCCCAGGGCTGGAGCCTTCCTTGGAGGTGACTGACTGTGGTGATGTCCTAGACTGGCTGATTCTGCAAGCGCCCTACGCCGCGGTGTTCGAGGGCGAGCCGCTGGTGCTGCGCTGCCGCGGCTGGTACGACAAGGTGGTGTACAAGCTGCACTATTACCACGACGGCCAGGCGGTGCGCTACTTCCACTCCAGCGCCAACTACTCGGTGCCGCAGGCGCGCGCCAGCGACAGTGGGCGCTACCAGTGCTCCGGCACCATGCGCATCCCGGTGGAGAGCGCGCCCATGTTCTCCGCCAAGGTGGCCGTGACCGTGCAAGGTGGGGGAGGCCTGGGGCCCCGGAGGGGGTGGGGCGAACGAGCACTGGAGATTCCGGGTGGGGAACCAGGCAGGGAGAGGAGGGGCGGAGGGTCAAGTGGCTGCACGTGGTGGATTTCTCTACTAGGCCACGTGTGCTTTCCTCTCCTGCTCCACAGGGGAGGCGCACTTGACCTCCAGTGGGTGCAGATGTCTCTTCCCCCACGACACACACCCCGAGTGGGGACCCCACACTGGGGGCGGCGGCAGCGGTGGGGACCACTGTGGGAGTAGGGGGAGGCAGGCGCAGTGACCCCCTTCCAGGTGGAGAGCCTGGGCTGGGTCCCCTCCCTCACGGACTCGTTGCCACATTTCAGCAGCCTTTCCTCCCACCCGCTCTTGGCTCCCTGTGGGCGAGGAGCCCTCACGGGACACGGGGAGGAGAGCGGGATTGGAGGCCTGGGACGGCGCGCGCAGGCTCTCGGGACGCTGGCTCCGGCCTCACGCGCGCTCCGCCGCGCCCTCTCCGCAGAGTTGTTCCCGGCGCCGGTGCTGAAGGTGGCGGGCCGCGCGGAGGCCGGCGGGGTGGTCGTGCGCTGCGAGACGCGCCTGCACCCGCGGAAGCGCTCGGTGCCGCTGCAGTTCGCCTTCTACAAGTACAGCCGCGCCGTGCGCCGCTTCGACTGGGGCGCGGAGTACAGAGTCCCCGAGGCCGAGGCCGACGAGCTGGAGTCGCACTGGTGCGAGGCGGCCACAGCCTCCCGCAGCGTCAGGAAACGCAGCGCGTGGCTGCAGCTCCCGGGGCGCGGTGAGTGTCGCTCCGTCACCCGCCCTGCCCATCCCCTCCACCTCGCCCCGTCCTTGGCCTGGCCTTCTCCCCTCACCCCGCCCGTGCCCCCCACTGTGCGTCCACAGGGTCGTCCCTGGACTCTCCCACCGCTGCCCTGGCCCCACAGGCCGCACCCTTGGCGCCCGGGAACAAGCCGCTTTCCTTCCGAAAGTCCCTGCTGTCCACGTCGGTCCCGTCGGTCACCTCTGTCCCTAACACCACCTCGGTCGGGCTGCCGGTCCCAGCGGCCAGAGCCCCCAGCGCTGCGCCAGCCGCCTGCGCTCCGCCGACGCCCCTGGAACAGTCCGCAGCGGCCCTGAAACCGGAGGTGGACTTGCTGCTCCGAGAAATCCGGCTGCTCAGAGGTCTGCTTAGTCGGGTGGTCCGGGAAACCAAGGACCCTCAGACCTTCCCCGAGCACGGGGCAACACGGGAGACCCCCCACGGCCCACGGGGCTGAGTCCCGGGAGCCCTGGAGACCAGCACTGCGGGGAGCTGAGGGCGGCTCTGCGCCCCTCCAGAGGCACCTGTCCCCAGCTCTCCTGCTTCCTGTCACCTGAGACCTTGTCAGCTGTGGTTTTTCAGCAGCACATAAAGGACTGTGGCCGCGATTCAACCTCCACAGCTTGTTTGAGCTGCGTAACCACAAGGCCTCCCTCTGATCGCTTTCTTCCGCTCTCAGAATTCGGGAAGGAAGTGAACTTAGTCATCCTAAGCTTTCATGTGGTCCACCCGGCACAGGCTTCTGCGCAGGCAGGCCACTGAGGAAACAGCCCTTTGGGACAGGCGAGGGTCCAGTTGTAATGATTGATCATTAACTTAATGCTAATTTAAAAAAGACTTTCAGTTCTATTTCTGATGAGTTTATGCCTCAAAGTTCTGGGTTCACATTAGTGTTAGAGATAGAAAGTATCGTATGGGTCCCCATAGCCCAGGATGTGGGGGCAGAGCTGTGCTGGGCTCCTGGGCTGGGCGTCCTGTCCCCAGTAGCAGCGGGCAGGCTGCCTCAGCCACAGATTAAAGCGGGACCCCTGCGTCCAGCATCTGTCTGAAGAAAGTTTAGGACACATTTTCAAACGGCTGAATTCTAGTTTGTAGCGGTTTTGCTTTTTACGTCCCAAGATCCGTCCCAACACCAGCACACCTAGGGACGCGTGCACGCCTGCTCAGTGACTTTACTGTCACCGCAGGAAGCAGGCGTCAGGCCGCCTCAGCTGCAGTTCCAGGAGCGGCTCCCTCAGTCCCCATCTGCCCTCGGTTCCCCCCAGGGGCTCAGGGCATCTTGTCCTTGTGGGGCCCATGCCCTTCATCAGTGAGCTTCCCTTGGAACTGGCAGCAGCTCTATCCACTTGGAGACCTTCAGCCACAACCCAATTTCGGATGTCTTTGTGGGCGATCAACCAGAAAAACACCCGTACCCATCATCCTCTTCTCAATGTTCTCCGCCGTGTTGTTCCAGAGTCCCTGGGACCACTCGGGGTGGGGGCCCCACACAAGCTACGGTGCGATGGGGTAAGTGCTCTGGGAGACACCACGGGCTCTGGAGAAGGAAGACGAGGTGTGAAGGACAAGCAAGAGCAGTCCCGGTGTGGATGTGGAACAGACGGAGGATGCCACCGTTTTCATGGGACAACCAGGACCCAGCGTCTAGTGTAGAGCTGCAAATACCCGGGAGTGGTTGGGGAACTGTGTGTGCTTGTGGAGGTGGGGTGTTTTGGGGAGAAGGTGGTAGGAGATGATCACAGGTAGTAGAAACAGACCAGAACAGGGACGTCTTGTTAGAAAGTCGGTTGGATTCTTGGGGTAGGTACTTGGAAGCCTTCTTTCCTGGGGTATCCATGAACCTTACTGGAGGAGATGCTCATTTAAAATTAGGAAAGAAGAATCAAATAAACTGATCTCAGAGGCTCTTGTTTATCCCCGAGAAGGTCTGTCCAGGCCCCTGTGACCAATTCCACTCTACACCTTCCTCCTGACTCTGTCCCCCTGGAGGCTCTGGCCACCGCTCACCTAGACAGGAAGGAACTAGCATTAGCACCAACAGGCTTAGCCATCGAAGGATCTCGCCATAAAAATATCTGCTGGTCATGTTGTAAGACAGCAAAAAAGTGAACCAGATGCTCACCAGGGAGCTGGGGGAGCTGTCTCTCCAACATCCGTCCTGGCCGCCACCTGTCTCCAATTAGAACTGGAGCTGGGGATGGGGAACAAGGAGAACAGATGGGTGAGAATGATTGTTCATGACCCGGCTTTTCTGTGTGTGTGTGGGTGGGGGGTGGGCATAGACTTTTATGCCCTCTGGACCCACTGTCTTTAAGCCCCAGGTCTCAGAGACTGTGGTCTCCCAGGAAGGCCCACACTAAGGAAATACCAGATGGGCACCTTGCTGGCCATGCTCCTCGGGGGAAACGTCCTCATCCAGCTTCAGACCGAGGTTCCAACATGCACTTGGGAAACAGGAGGCCAGGCGAGTCTCGGGCTCATTCCCAAGCCGCAAGGAGGGCAGCAAAATGCCGGGGAACCGGGAGGAAGCTGCTTCTATCTGGTTCTCTGATCAGCTGTGTTTCAGACCCTAAACCAGACGGTGTTCGTACCAGAGAGCAGATAGGGAAGCCAATGTCCACCCCTGGAGAGCGGAAAAGGGCCTGGCAAGTTCTATTTGGTGTCAGCCTCGGTCCCTCATTCTGTGTTCCCCAAGTCTCAGTTTCTAATCTCAACTTGGTGGAAAAAGGGAGCTCTTTGGGTTCTACACTTAGTACTCTTTTCTGGGGAATTGAATCAGTCCTCTAGGATAAAGTCCAAGCTCCCTCTCATGGCACACTGAGCCCATTCACACGGGCACTTGCTCTTCCTCCAGCACACGGGCTTCACCCAGGCCTCCGCACCTCATCCCGTGTGGGGGCGCTCGGCCTCCAGAGCCCAAGCTTCCTCGTTCAGACTGAGGGAGAGGGAGATGCACACGCAGATTCTTTCATTGTTAGGGGGTTTAAGGCAGGGGATGTGGGGTGCTTAGAAGACACACAGAGAGGAAGCCTAAGCCCAGCCTAGGGTTCATAAATCTCTTCCTGTAGAGATGGCATCTGTTAATCCCCGTTGGTGGACCTGTTGATGTTCCTAAACACTCGCTGTTTTAAATTGTGCTGCGATGACTATTCTCACACCTATGTCCTTATGTTTATATTTGGATGTATCTGTGGGATAGACTTCTAGCAGTCGAATTGCCAGATCAAAGACCACGAGTTTTGCCCTGGCCAGTGTGGCTCAGCAGTTAGAGCGTCGGCCTGCAGACCACAGGGTCCCAGGTTTGGTTCCTACTAAGGGCACGTATACCTCAGTTGCAGTTTGTCCCTCACGTCAATGTTTTTCCCTCTCTCCCTCTCGCTCTATCTGAAGATAAAATGCAAAAATGTCCTTGGTTGGGGATTAAAAAAAATAGCAAAGGATGTGAGTTCTTTTTTTATTTAAATTTAATAGATGTTGTCAAACTAACCCTCAAAGAGATTTAGTAATGTGTCCTTCCAAGAATCCTGCAGGAGAGAGCTTGTCTTGCCTCCCCTCCTGGGGAGAGCGCATCATCACTTGCAGTTCTTGATTAGACCCAGGGAACCTCCTGACACTCTAGGCAATGTTGAGTGCCCCCCCCAGTGGATCCTGGTGGCATTACAACGTCGTGCGAAGCAGCCGCCCAGCAGTGCCCGGTCAGTGACCCCGGTGTAATGCTAACCCATCCTTCTGAATTCCCGCCCAGCTGGTCCCCAGTTAACTAAGGGAAATACACTCCTGACCACACTTCCTTATTAAACGCGGGCTTTGTTCAAGTTTATTCTAAGCCGGATTATCCCAGTTTTTCACCACATTTCCACGAACCCTGTGTAACATGTGCTATGGTTCTCCTGTATTGGTTTAGTTTGTCTCGCAGTCAGAACACCTGCAAAGACTATTGGTCTCATAATAGTTGTACCTCCCTGGCTCAGCCAACCTGAGGATAAAGAGTTGGTACCATTTACTTCAGTCTTTTTCAGTCCAGAGGCGCCAACCTCACTGGCGTGGGAGATGGCCGTTGTCCCATCTCTCAACCGTGAGCGTGTCTCCAATGCAGCCTACATCAGAGCAGCCAAGCTAAGTCCCTTGGGCCCTGGAGGCAGGAGAGCTAAATACACAACCTCAGAACCCAACCCAGTCCCTCCCAGCCGGAATGCATGCAGATTAGTTAAGCATGTCTCTGTGCCCCAATGCATTTTTATTTTTATTTTTTAAAGTTGAGTAAAACAGATGAAAGAAATGTGGGTGATGGCTCTATCTCACTAGATATCTGTCTTGATTGCCATTGGTCCATTTCTCACCTTTTGGGTCCAACTGCTTTACCAGTTACCAACCTACCTCAACTGCTCTAAAATCCAGTCCATATGTTGTAGGTTGTCCTTAGGAGATCCGATCTGAAGAAGTAAGATTCAGTGTGTCCCTCCTTCCACGGAAAGAGAACCGGCCACCAGAAAAACACTATGATTAGGACGCTGGTGCTGCCCCCTGGTGGACGCTGCTGCGTCCCTAAATCAGATACAACTGAGAGGTAACATTGTATTCCTTTCAGGAGTATAATGTAACGGTTCAATAATTTTATATGTTGAGAAATGATCACACTAAGTCTCGTTAGCATCCATCACCACACATAGTTGCAACATTTTTTTCTTGTGATGAGAACTTTTAAGATCCACTCTCGAAACTTTCAAATATGCAAGACAGGGTTAACTAGTCACCTCGTGGTTAATATATAGTTAATAAAACTGCTTTTTATGAAAGCTGACAAGTCACTCCTGCAGTCCCCTGCTCTGGAATATCGTTTGGGGTTGGATCCAACCTCACTGGTTTGAGAGCCTGAAGGTACAGAAGCAGTAGGGCTCATTCACTCAGAGCCCAGTGGCCCCAGGAAGGGGCTGGAGACCCTCTGTGAATGGGGCCGTGGAAGCATGAGGCCTGGGAGGGACATGGAGGGGCCACTTCCCTCCCAGGGGCTGCAACTCTGCGTGGCCATTGTTAGGACTGAAGGTGACCACGTGGCTGAACGGGTGTCCTGGGATGGCTTGTGAGGCCTTGACAAATCGCCCCTTTTGGTGGACATGTCAGGCACACTTAGTGAAACCATCTTATGTTGTAGGCCTCACCTCTGTGTCTCTCCCCACCTGACCTCCTGCAACCTTTTCCAGCCTTCCCCCCTTGTCCCCTTCGGCGGCGGGGAAGAGCTCAAATGCCCCCTTCTCGGAGAGATGTCCCCAGTTTCCTCCAGCCGAAATGGAATTATTTCTTTGTCTAAGCCCAGCATTGTGTTTGTCCTGTCAGTTTGACACATGGCTCGGTCGATGCCCCCTGTCCACATGGTGGAAACTCAACCTTCATCTTATCTGTGCTGTTTCCCCGGTGCTGAGCAAGAACGGATGAGCTGAGATAAAAATCACAGGGTGGGAGGGATGGTTAAGTCACTTGGAAGAATGTGCTGCTTTCGGACCACGTGAAAGCACTTCCAGGAAACAGTGAAAGCTGGGTTTCCCTCTCCGCGATCGGCTTCCTCCCGCAACTGGAATGCTGGTGAGTGGCCAGCCTCGGGCGGGGGACGCTGAATCACTGGGAAGAGTGAACAAAGAAATACTTCTTGGAAGAGGCGAGAGAGCGAGGCATTTAGAAGAAACTGTATTTCATGGTAAGAGGACAAGGAACCGTTTTTTGAAGGATTTGGAAATATTGTGCTGACCAAAAGTTGATAGGCTTTCTGACGTTGGTGGTTTCAAGTCCTTCAGGGAAAGTCAGGGTAGGCATTACTCACCTTCTCTTTTTTGGATGGGAACACTGAAGTTCAGAGGGTTCAAATGGCTTGGTCACGTCAGACAAGTCACACACGACAGAACCAGCACCCAAGTCAGGGCACCTTCCCCTGCAGCTCACCGGACTGAGCATGGCAGCAGGGCTGGGAGGGGCAGCATGCCACTCAGGAGGAACGGAGGGCCTGGGCTCTGCAAAATGCAACCCTGCACCCCCCGCACAGACTCAGGCGAGGCTGTGGTCCCCTTGGCTCCATGCCATCTAACTGTTGACATTTCTCTTTGAGTCAAAAAGGAACTGAGAGTGTAAGCCACAACTCACAGCCTGTTCCAGGGCCTGTGTTTCCCAGAAAGACAGCCACACAACATGACAACTTTGCAAATGTTGGGGGCCATGGGGAGTCATTGAGTCAGTTGACCACGTTGTCCCTACACAACAAAGGTGCATCAAGTCCACTCAGTCACTCAGTCATCTCGGGTCCCAGTGTTTGTGGAGCTGAGGTTATTCCCTCAGAATCTTCTAGGGAAAGAGGACACCTCTGTACAGGGACCCAGACTCTAGACCAGTAACTGGACTCAGGGATGCGGCTGCAGCAGCGCAGGTGGTTAGGATCATGTTCTGCTCCTTCTCGTGAACGCTGCATTCCTGGCTCCACAGAGCCCTCAGCCGTCCTTCCCACACCTCTGCTCAGCCTCCACGGCGTCCCCTCCCAGCTGCTTCTGGTGCAGTGGTTCAGCTTGGGAAGCTTTCTCCCACTAATGGGCCATGTCGATAAGTTAATCCTTATTGGAACTCGGCGAAGTGGCCACACAAACTCTGATTTTGCAGATGCAGAAACCAGGACTTAGAGAAATCATATGTTCTGAAGGCACATGTTCACACGTCGGGAGGGGCCGGGGCCAGGGCCAGATGCAGCTTCTGTTCAGACCTAGGTTTTCTGTGGCTTCAGACTGTGGCCCCGGAGACAAATCGGAACCCACCACTCTCTAGGCACCCGCCTTCCTCTCACAAACAGAGATGAAATGATAAATTACATTATTATTTCTCATCTATGTAATTCTATTTTGGAGGCCTCAAAGTATGCTTCATGTGTACCTTCATAGGTGTCCTAGAACTTAACTCCCAAACACTGACCCACAATGCACTGGGTGTAGGAGCGCCCCACCCCCCATGTGCTGGGGACAGAAAGAGGAAGTTGTCTTGTGGTTGTGATGGGGAGGGGATGGGGCAGAGAGGGGAAATTTCCCTGCTGCCTCTCAGCAAATATTTTGAAAGATGAAAATAAACATGAAAATCATACTTGTGATTACACCCAAAAGTCTTTTGAGAAACACCTGAAGAGTTGTTTCAGGTCATGTTACATAAAATGGGTGTCTTCTCAGAATGCGAGCTACCACATACTTGATGATGTCTTAGCAACGGTAAGACTTTTTATTTCATCCATACTTATCAAGGTTGCAGGTTTGCTGGTGATAAAATGAACAAAGTGTGCCTGTGTGTGTGTGTGCCAACCCGAGGACAGACAGCCTTTCTCCTCTTCTTCATAGGAAGCAGCCCAGACCTCTCTCTAAAGACAGCATTTCCTTCCCCAGGCCCAACCTGCTTTTCTTACAGGCTTCCACATTCATTTCCCCGTATTTCAAGGGAGGTGCAGAAAATATCTCTCCTCGAAGGGCAAACGGTGACACCTAGTGGCCAAGAGTACAAATACAGAAGAGAGGCGTTTTGCTGCGCCCAGTTTCAGGTATTTATCAGGCTCACAATTCAGATGTGTGCCTACTCCCATCCTTGAAGGAGCCTGTAGTCATTTTAGGGAGTTGAGAAAGTAAAATTAATTTCCAACAGGAAACCAATCAGGCTGAGGGAATGCCTAGAATACCTTAATAAAATGTCCAGGAGACGAGCCCTTAACAGTTTTTTTCCCTCTTTTTCCAGAATATAAATATCTATACTTGCTAACAGTAAGCACTTTTAATAATACTGGTTGAGAGAAATGAAAACTAAGTACAAAAAAGCCGGATGAGGCCAATCATGGAGGTCTTCCTCCCAACAGCTCCTGGAAATAACCACTGTTGACAGTTTGAGAAAGAGCTTTCGGTATTTTTCATTTTGCCAAACAGGAACTTACTTGGTCAAGCCTTGTGTTCAGGGTTTTTACAGGGGTACAGTCCCAGAGATATGTCTGACCTTGTTCTCACCCAGCTGCAGCCTCCAAAGGTCTGATAGCATGGTCAGGCATCTTATCAGGCTCCAAGGTCATCTCCTGGGAGCTGGTGGGGCCAGTCTTCCAGGAAACAGACTTTTTGGAAATGCGCCTTCTGGGTTAACCCTTCGCTACACAGAAGCCTTGTGTATTTGTGGCCTGCACACTGACTAGGCTGCCTGACTCTGAGGCAGGGTTGTAACAACCTAGGATATTCCCTGCAAGTGGAATGAGGGAAACTGAGACAAGATAGGTAAACAAGGCCAAGCAATTAACAGCCTTATCTCTGGGACTGAGGACACTTAGGAGCAGATGGTTTACACCTCTCCTCCCCAATCAGATGGTGAGTAGCTTCATCACTCCGGTCAAGGAGAGAGATAACAGAGACCCTGTTACAGCCCTTGGTGCCAAACCCCAGGATGGATGAAGTCAGGGGAATAAACAACAACAAAACAACAGCAACAACAACACCACCACCAATCAGAGCCAGACAAACCCAAGATAAAAGTAAGGCAGTAAAGCTGACCAAAGAATGATCCCAAACTCCTCTATAGACTCTATTGTAGCTTCTCCCTCTCTCCTGGTACTTCCTTGTACTTCAAAAAAGGTCCAAGTCTTCCCTGTTGGAAAAAAAGAGAAACAAGAAAACAAAAGGAGGAGGAGGAGGAGGAGGCGGAGGAGGAGGAGCAGGAGGAGGGGGGAGGAGGGGGGAGGAAGCGGGGAGGGGGGAGGAGGCGGGGAGGGGGGGAGGAGGGGGAGGAGGGGAAACACGTCCCTCAATTTCAGGTTTCCTCCTGGCTGTGGTCCCATCTTTCTAGAAAAGACACGGGATTAATACCTTAAAATATAAAACAATAGAAAGCAACAGAAAAGGGATTCGCACGCCAATAAAGTACTGGGCAAAATGAAAAAAAGAAAAGAAAAAGAAAAATAGTCACAACAGAGGGACTACAAACAAATGACTTCATAAGCCTTGGAAGAAATGTTTGACTTCAAATGCATAAAATTGTGCTGCGGATTCGGTTGGTGAGACCATCGTTTCAAAGTCGACTTCAGCTCCTGCGGAAAGTCCAGAAAGTCCCAACTCTAAAAGGCTGGGAAACCCTGTGTTTGGGGAGGTTTATTCTCCACCAGAACTGGGGTTCGGGTGCGGGACGCGGCGGGAAAGGCGGCTTGGCATCGGGCTCCCGGGCGGAAGCCGCATCTCCCGCGGAGCGCACCTCCCGCGGTCGGCCGGCTTCTCCGGCGGCGCTGCTGCGCAGCTGGGGCGGCGGTCGCTCTAGGCGGCCGACTCGTTGGCAGGCGCGACGGGCGCCGCCATGTTGGACGCTGGCGCCGCGCGCCGGGCCCGCGGTCGGAGATGCTGCAGGTGCGGCCCGGGCTGTACCTGGGCGGAGCCGCGGCGGTCGCGGAGCCGGGCCGCCTGAGGGAGGCGGGCATCTCGGCGGTGCTGACGGTGGACGCGGAGGAGCCGGACTTCCAGGTAGAGGGCTTGCGGAGGCTCTTCGTGCCCGCGCTGGACAAGCCCGAGACAGACCTGCTGAGCCACCTGGACCGCTGCGTGGCCTTCGTGGGCCAGGCCCGCGCCGAGGGCCGCGCGGTGCTGGTGCACTGGTGAGCGCCTCGCGGGCGGGAGGGCCGAGGGGCCTGGCCTGCCCCGTGCGTCCGTCCACGCACGTTCGGTGGGTTCCTGGGGAGCTTTACAGGGGGTGCGCGGGAGTGGGGGGTGCACCGGAGTGGGGGGGCGCACCGGAGTGGGGGGGTGCACCGGAGTGGGGGGGCGCACCGGAGTGGGGGGGCGCACCGGAGTGGGGGGCGCACCGGAGTGGGGGGTGCACCGGAGTGGGGGGGTGCACCGGAGTGGGGGGCGCACCGGAGTGGGGGGGTGCACCGGAGTGGGGGGGTGCACCGGAGTGGGGGGCGCACCGGGTAAATGACAGGGCCCCAGCCGGCGGCTCTCACGCAGGCGGGGACCCACGTGGGAGGCTCCACTCCAGGGAGGGGCGTGTGCTCGGAGTGTTTGTCGGGGGCGCGGGGTCCGTGCCCAGGAAAGCTCCGGCGGTGGCGGTGGCGGGAAGGTCGGGGAGTCCTAAGGTCCGGTCTGGCGGACTGCAGAGTGACAACCACCGTTTACATTCATTCATATAGCAGGCGGTGCTGGGGAGGAAGCAGGAGACCGGGTCTCCAGAGCCCTCATGTCAGGAGTCAAGGGGTGTGGAGTTGTTCCGAGGCCACTATAAAATTTTACTGTGATTATATTTGGATGTAGGATGCATTCCTAGGATTCAGAATTCAAAAGAAATAAGGATATAAAGGAATCATTTCTTTTGTGCATGGGCAGTACTTCAGAGGCAAAGAGTTTGAAGCAGACAAGTGGACCTGATGTTGGCCCTTAATAGAAAGTTGGGTTTTGTTTGTGGTGTTGCTTGCTATTTGCTATTTTACTTTAAGTCACGCAGGAGTCAGTCGAAGTGTGGCTGTCATGACTGCTTTTCTGATGAAGACTGACCAACTTACCTTTGAAAAAGCCTATGAAAACCTCCAGACTATCAAACCAGAGGCCAAGTGAGTTCTTTTTTGAGAGTGATCAGTATGCCTTTGTGGTGTGATTTTACTTATTTCAAGAAAACTTAAGTTTGTATTGTCTTTCAGGATGAATGAGGGGTTTGAGTGGCAACTGAAATTATACCAGTTCATGGGATGCGAAGTAGATACCTCTAGTGCAATTTATAAACAATATCGTTTACAAAAGGTTACGGAGAAGTATCCAGGTAAATAATGAGGCTAGTATGTAATGGGACCTTGCTAGATGCTCTCTTCTCTGACTCTGACACTAAACATGTAAGGTGCATTGTCTCACTTTCTCAGCAATTCCTTGAGACAGGTCCTGTTATTTCCTTTTGAAACCGTGGTTTAACAAGAAATACCTTGTTCAAGGTCACATGGATTGTAAGTGGTGGCGGTCTGGGATTTGAACTCAGGCAGTCTGTGCCCAGAACCCAAGGGCTGTCCTGCCTCATTCTGCTTTTTCAACGCCAGATGCCTTTTTCTTTTTTAAAAATTTAATTTCTGAGGTTAGCACTTGCTGCCTCAATTCGACATTAACTGAATTTTGCCTGAAAAAGCAGAGTGTTGATTTCAACCAATGGATACATTTTCACTGTCATGTAGAACTGCAGAACTTACCTCAAGAACTCTTTGCTGTTGACCCAATCACGGTTTCACAAGGATCGAAAGATGAGGTTCTCTACAAATGTAGAAAGTGCAGGTAAAATGTTTTGCATTTTCTGGAGATTTTATCTTGTCTCAGCAGCTGAAACGTACTTACATCTCTGTAGGGAGAATTTGTTTAGTTGAATACTACAGACATTTCTAATTCAAATCTGCTTTCAAGAATACAAATTCTTAGCAGTAAAAGCATTCAGGTTACTTGTAGAAACTACTGGAAATTAAAGTAGCATAATCAATGCTACATTATTTTTCCCTTTAAGAAATAACTACATTTCATCTATTTTTTAATATATTTTTTGGAAGTTATTGATGTTTTTGTTTGTTTGGGGGTTGCAGGCGGTCTTTATTCCGAAGTTCTAGCATTTTGGATCATAATGAAGGAAGTGGTCCCATAGCCTTTGCCCACAAGAGACTGGCACCATCTCTGGTGCCTGTGACGGGGAGTCAGGCTCAGTGCACGTCCTATTTCATTGAACCTGTGCAGTGGATGGAACCTGCGTTGCTGGGCGTGATGAATGGACAGGTGAGGACATGTCTTATTTTTTAGTTTCATTAAATCATCTGTTTCGTTCCTTCTTGCATTTTAAACCATAGTTTAGTGTTTTACTCTATCCTAACTAGTTTCTTTCTGATGATTACATCTTTCCAGTGTAGACAAGAACCTATCAAAAATTAAAGGAAAACCAGCTGATCTTAAAATAGAGAACCACTTTTGGTTGAGAGGTGATGGTCTAAGTTCATTAATTCTTTTTAGTGCTATAAATGTATTAAAGGAAAATACAATAGACGTGTTATCTATTTTACTAGAGTATTTGTTTGTTTGTTTTTAAATGGGCAGGAATCTGAGGCCTGACATACAGGCTGTTAATATCAGTTAATAGTAGGACATGAGAATCCTAACATGCTTTCCTACCCTTTAGCCGTGATGATTTTAGTTTGAAATCTTACATTGCAGACTGATTTAAAAGCCGACACATATGCCATATCCGTGAAATCTTCTGTTTCATGTCTCAAGCTTCACCTTCCTCCCCTAGCACTGGAATTAGTCTATTTCTCCTTGAACCTCTCAGGGTTACAATGGGCTTCTAAACACAGCTATTGTAGTGAATTGCTGTCCTATTTATCTCATTGATTAGATCTGAACTTCTTGAATAATTGTTTTGTACAAAAGCAGATGAATGAAGTCGTGCATTTGCTTTGTTTCAGCTTCTGTGCCCCAAATGCAATGCCAAGTTGGGTTCTTTCAATTGGTACGGTGACCAGTGCTCCTGTGGTAGATGGATAACACCTGCTTTTCAAATCCATAAGAACAGAGTGGATGAAATGAAAGTGCTGCTGGTTCTGGGACCACAAACAAGGAAAACATGAACTTGTGATGTCTGGTAGCTGGGAAAGAAATGTGCTGGATGATAGGGGCTCCTTCTTGTCATTCACACATAGCCTGGTGTTTGGACCATCGCATTTCGTTTGAAATGTAAGAAGATGAAATCACTTCATGTGAGTTGGACACTGTATTTAAGTAGAATACTTCATATGGAAATAAAAATTAAAAAAAAAAAAATCCTCACTGGAGGATATGTTGATGTTTTTTTTTTCAAAATTTGATTTTAGGGAGAGGGGGAGAGAGAGAGAAACATTGATGTGAGAAAGAAACATCAATTAGTTGCCTTCTGTATGCACCCTGACTGGGGATCGAACCCACAATCTGGATATGTGCCCTGACCAGGAATCAAACCTGAGACCCTTCAGTGCATGGGACCACCCTCCAAGCAACTGAGCCCCCACCACCAGGGCTTAGCACTTTTTCATCATGTAAATTATACTTTATTTGATATTAAGACCTATAACCCAGGTACTTTGTTTCATATATTTTAAAGAGTTCTGACTTTTGGAATGTTAGTGATAGGATCTTAAGGTCTGGATGAACAAAAGTATGTCGGAAACTACCATGTTTAAATGGATACTCTTTTATTTCTAGAAATGTAAAGGAATTTTGTTGGGACTTATTTTGACGTGTCTCTTTCTCTCTTTTAAGAGATATTAGTAAATCTATTGTATATCTGGATTCTTCCTGGAACTGTAGATGGAAAGGTTATGAAGAAAACACTACAGTGTAGTTTTTCTGTCACTGTTCAGGAAGCCCAGTTATCTAAATTTGTAGGAAAGTGTGTTTAAGACACCTTTTAAAGTAATCTGCTTAAAGAAATGTATTGATGTTAGGTGTGTTTCTAGTGATACAGAAAATAAATGTGAAATAACTACAAATCAATTACATTTTAAGCTTGATATTGTCAGTGTTAGAAGGTAATGTCCAGGTTAGCTTGTTATCATGGTCTCTGGAAACTGGGAGTTATTTAACTCATTACACGTAGTTAGAATTGGACCTAATTAGATATTTGTACACTTACATGAAATCATAATTAGGTAATAAAGAGAAATAGGATCTATATTCCTTTTTTTTAAATCCTTACCTGAGGATATTTTTTTTCTAATTTATTTTTAGATAGAGTGGGAGGGAGAGAGGAGAGAAAGGGAGAGGGAGAAACACTGATGTGAGAGGGACACATTGGTTGCCTCCCGCACGACCCCGACCAGGGCCAGAGCCGGGGATGAACCACAACTGAGGTACATGCCCTTGACCAGAATTGAACCCGCAACTCATTGGTCTGCGGGCTGAGGCTCTAACCGCTGAGCCAAACCAGCCAGGGCTGGAGTCTGTTTTAAGATATTTTGCGTATTTACACGTGAGTGTGTCTGTATGTATATAAACACCAGAATGAACATTTTAAATGCCAAAAAAGAAAAAAGAAAGCAAATGGTCCTGTTAAAAAAATGCTGAGTTTAATTTTTGAAATGGGTAGGAGTGTTCCAGATTGTCGGTGATAATATTTCAGCATATGACCTGAAGCCTTTGGCAACTTTCATGTAATAATTTTTCTTGTGAGAAAATATTAACTTCCCTAAAAGTGTAATCATTAGAAATTATGCACCACCTGATGTGATACAAGAAAGTACCTGTGAAGTATTCTTGAAAAATTTTGGAAATGTGAATAAAAGCAAAAGCCATCCAATCAAGTGTCTAGATTCCACTAGCAGTTTACAAACTGCCATGAAGATATAATCAGCAGAATCACCATGTGGAAATTTCTGCAGGACAAGCCACAGATTCTTATGTCTCTTGAAATTTTCCATAGTGAAGATTCATTTTTAAAACAGTTGCAATGTTACATAACACAAGTTTTATAATGTTAGGGTTTGCGTACAAGTTTTTCTACATAGAAAATCCTAGAGAAATGCCAGACAAAATATTAGAATCACATAATCCAGCAAGACTTTTGAGATACAAGACTGCTGTATAAAAATCAAGTTACTATACCCCAGCAATAACTGAATTAAAAAGGTGTGTAAAAGGAAACTAAAACCATGAAAAGAAAATTAAAAGAAATCTTCATGACCTCGAGTGGGAATGATTTCTTTGGCAAGATTCAAATAGAAGTCATAAAAAAATCATAAACGAAACGATGGATAAACGTGAGTCCACTGAAATGAAACCCTCCAGGACGGGGGTCAGCCTAGCCCTAAAGGTGTTTGCAACATCCGTACCAGTTAAGTGAACAGTGTAAGCTGTCTGAACATGTACACGTGGTTGAGAGGAAGAACATTCAACAGTGAAGTTTATAAAAGAAAAGAATGGGAAGTTCACAGAAGAGCCAAGGTTTAATAAACATGAAAAGATGCATCATGATTTTGTTAGGGAAACGCAGATGCACCCTTCACAGTGGCAAGAAAAAAGTGAAGTCTGACCATATCTAGTATTGGTGAGGCTCTGGAGCAAATGGAACTCATTGCTGCTGGCCAGGGTGTATATTGGTATAATTTGGCAATATTAATATTCCTACTCCATGATCCAGCATATAATTCAGACAGGCTTGCATATATGCATAAGGAGACTCATACAAGAATATATTTTGTATAACAGTAAAAAAAAATTGAAACAATTCAAATGTCCATCAGGAAAATGAAAAAAATAGCGATATATATATTCAAGGAGATACTGTAGAACAGCTCAAAGACGGATAATCAAAAAGTAATGTTGAGTGAGAAGATTTGGAAGATAATGATACATTTATGTGAGTTAAAAAGAGACCCAAATAACACTAACTGTGTAGATTTATAAACTTTTTAAACGTGTAAAATAAAACATTTGATTCCTATAACATTCATGATAGTCGTTGCCTGTGTGGATGGAGGGAAAAGTGGAGTTCAACTTCGTAATGTTTAATTTCTTATGAAAAATCTGAAGTGAAAATGAAAATTGTTCATTTTGGGGGGGGGCGGTGATAGGCACACAAATGTTTGTTTCATAATCATCTGCCCTTTGGGAATCAAAGAAAACCTGAAAATTAAAAAAAGGAAAACTTGCTTGAGCTCAGGCACGCCGATTTAAGGAAGACTAAGGTGCTCACAGACCAGGGGGCTCCCGCTGGGTTTGTTTCAGCTTTTACAACTCTCGAGTTGGCAGCTGGGCGGGAATAACGCCGCTGGCCAGTTGCCTGCTGCCCGCAGGGCCCGGTCGGCGCCAGGCGCACGTTTTCCGGGCGGGGCCGGGGCTGCGAGCAGGTGGCCGGGCGCGCGGAGGCTCCTGGGAGCGCGTGTTGGTGTTTTGGGCCGTGGGAAAGCCCCGGCCGTAGGGACACGTGTTCGTAAGGTGGGGCGTGCGGAGCGCTCCCCGCGGGCGACGCGCTGAGACCCAGTCCCCCGTGGGCGCGTCCGCGACGCTGTCTCGAGAAAGTCGCGCAGAGCGGGGTCGGAGCCGCGGCTCTTCGTGCGCGTCCCGGGGCTGCGTGCGCCGTGGGCTCCGCACGCCCGGCTGCCGGCTGCCGGCTGCCGGCCGCCCGCGCGTGGGCCGGAGAGACTCGGCCGCCCGGCGCGGCGCTGGGCTCCCGCGGGGGCGTGTGCGGGCCCCGCCAGCGCCCCGTCGAGCAGCCGGGCGCTCCTCGGGCAGGTGGCGCTCGGAGTCGTCCTGCGCCGGCTTCCGCGTCGTTCCCCGGCGGCCCCGCCGGCGTCACTGCAGCTCGGCGCCGTCGGCCCCGTCTCCACGGACCGCTGACGTGTCTCTTCGTCCCTCTCGGCGACCGACGGCGCGGCGGGGAGCGGCCGGGGCCGCCTGCGGCGGGGACGCGCCCCTCGGGCCCTAGCGGGACCCTCGCGCCGCGCGGCCGTTTGTCCGCGTCCGGCCACCGTCGCCGCCGCCGCGCTGCGCAGCGTTTTGTCCGCCCGCAGCCGCCGTCCCGGCGTCAGTCGCCGAGCTCCAGGGCCCGAGCGTGTGTGGGGCGCGGGCGGCGCTGCCGGCACCATGGAGTCGCCCTTCAGCCCGGGGCTCCCTCCGCGGCCGGAGGAGTACTGGGGTGAGTGGCTCCGAGAAGGACCGCGGGGGCGCGGGGGCGGGCTCGGGGGTCCTGAGGGCCGGCGGCCGGTGGGTCGCTGCCCGGCCCCTGAAGGAATGACGGTCGGTTGTCACTGTCCCCCTGGGGACGTACCGGGCGGGGCTTGTGGGGCGGGGGCGACGGCGTGCGGCGGCGTGGGGCGAGGGTGGGGGCCGTGGCGGAGCGTGGGTGGGGGTGACTGCCGCGAGGGTGGGTGTGTTTGTGTGTGCGGGGTCCGTGTGTGTATGTGCGCGCGTGTGTACCTGTGTGTGCTTGTGTGTACGTGTGTGTACCTGTGTCCGTGCGTGTACCTGTGCGCTCGCGTGTACGTGTGTACCTGTGTGCACTTGTGTGTACGTGTGTGTACCTGTGCCCGTGCGTGTACCTGTGCGCGCGTGTGTACCTGTGTGCGCTTGTGTGTACGTGTGTGTACCTGTGTCCGTGCGTGTACCTGTGCGCGCGTGTGTACCTGTGTGCGCTTGTGTGTACGTGTGTGTACCTGTGTCCGTGCGTGTACCTGTGCGCTCGCGTGTACGTGTGTACCTGTGTGCACTTGTGTGTACGTGTGTGTACCTGTGTACGTGTGTGTACCTGTGCCCGTGCGTGTACCTGTGCGCGCGTGTGTACCTGTGTGTGCTTGTGTGTACGTGTGTGTACCTGTGCGCGCGTGTGTACCTGTGTGCGCTTGTGTGTACGTGTGTGTACCTGTGTCCGTGCGTGTACCTGTGCGCTCGCGTGTACGTGTGTACCTGTGTGCACTTGTGTGTACGTGTGTGTACCTGTGCCCGTGCGTGTACCTGTGCGCGCATGTGTACCTGTGTGCGCTTGTGTGTACGTGTGTGTACCTGTGCGCTCGCGTGTACGTGTGTACCTGTGTGCGCTTGTGTGTACGTGTGTGTACCTGTGTCCGTGCGTGTACCTGTGTGCGCGTGTACGTGTACCTGTGTGCGCTTGTGTATACGTGTGTGTACCTGTGTCCGTGCGTGTACCTGTGCACGCGCGTACGTGTGTACCTGCATCCGTGTGTATGTGCATGTCTGTACGTGCGCGCGCGTGTGTTCGTCTGTGTACCTGTGTGCGCTTGTGTGTACGTGTGTGTATCAGTGTCCGTGCGTGTACCTGTGCGCGTGTGTGTGTCCGTGCATGTACCTGTGTGCGCATGTGTGTACCTGTGTCCATGCGTGTACCTGTGCGCTCGCGTGTGTCCGTGCGTGTACCTGCGCGTGCGCGTACTTGTGTACCTGTGTGCGCTTGTGTACGTGTGTACCTGTGTGCGCTTGTGTACGTGTGTACCTGTGTTTGTGCGGGTGTACGTGTGTGTACCTGTGTGCGTGAGAATGAGTGTGCAACAGATGCTCGTCTCGAAGCATCCACAGTTGCTCTGGGCTGATGTCCCTCTGCTTAGCAGAGAAGCAGAGACCTGGCACCTGGCCTTGGGCCTGCTCACCTGGATGGGCCCACAGGCCCTGTAGTCCTGATTGCCTTACAGATTTCCTTGCTAGGCTAGTTTGTTAGTTTTATTTATTTATTGCTGTCGGGAGTGGTGGAGAAGAATGTGGTGGGAAGGAGAGGGGAGAAGGTTGTCATCTCATCCTGCCAGACCTAATGCTGATCTCTTCTTGGAGTTCAGGGGGATTTGGGCTTGTGTAGGTCTTGGAGGGTCCCCTGCTGAGCCTGCACCACTCATCAGTTCTGGAATTGGAGGGGGATCCAGACCGCCTTCCTCTTTTCCCTTGGACCATCGTACTCAGTAGCAGGAGTGGAATCTCTATTCCATTTATTCCCCAGTTATATTAGGTAGTTAGGACTGTGTTCTTAGCTGGTAAACCATTAAATATTCTCATGATATTTCTTAAACTGTAGCAGTGGGCACTTCCTGATAGCATTGCATCATGTTTTGTCTTCTGATACATAGGCTGCATTTTCCTGACTAGTCTGAACAGTTGACTCCTGGTCTTATTAAAGTGTTCTTGTTAAAGGGAACTCATCTTGTAGTCTGTCACTGCCCCTCCTTAAATGAGCCCATTCCCATGTTTTCAAGGCTTCCTTTTCAAACTGTCAACAGTCTTCTCCACTGAGCCAAACCGGCCACGGCTCAACAGTCTTCTCTTACATGAATGCTTTAATTCTGATTGCTGGGGTGTTCAGTCAGTAGGAGAGGTTTTGCAGGCAGGCACTATAGTGAGACACTTCTGTCTGCCAGCATTTCTCAGTAGAATATGGAATATTTTTGTGGGAAGCACTTCACTGATTTTTTTTTTAATTTATTTTTTATTTCTCACCTGAGGATATTTTTCTACTAATTATCAGATAGACTGGGAGGGACGGAGAGAGACAGAAAGAAACATCGATGTGTGAGAGCCACATTTGACTGGTTGCCTCCTGCACGACTCGACTAGGGCCAGGGACAAACTGCAACCGAGGTACATGCCCTTGACTGGAATCAAACCCGTGACTCATTGGTCCGCGGGCTGATGCTCGAACCACTGAGAAAACCGGCCAGGGCTTAAAAATTTTTTTATTAGAAGCCAACCAGTTAAATTTAGAGTCGGATTATGTAATTAGTACTTCTTGTGATGCTAACAACTGAGGAATTTAACTAGATTGATTAGCTTGGAACAACTTGTGATGGGGAGTGCTTTTTTCCCCTGTAACTTGGGTAGTGAAATTGAGAGCAGGATCTCACAAACATTTTCTGTGAAGGTCCAGATAGTAACTACTTTAGGTCATGTGGTCCCTCTTGCATTCCCTGGACTCCCCCATAGAAAGCTTTATTGTGGACACCGGAATTTGAATTTTACATCGTTATTTTTAATGCTTAATAGACTATTTTTAATACAGTTTTAGATTTACAGAATAATTGAGCAGATAGCACACTGAGTTCCATATTACACCCCCCCCCCCATACATACACCCTTTCCCCCATTGGTAACATCTTGCATTAGTGCACTACATCTGTTACAATTGATGAGCCAGTATAGATATATTTGTTACAGTTGAGCCAGTATTGATACATTGTAATTAACTGAAGTCCATAGTTTACATTAAGTTCATCCTGAGTTGTACTACTGTGGGTTTTGACAAATGGTTTTGTCATGTATCCACTATTACAGTATCATAGAGAATAATTTCACTGTCCTAAAGTACCCATTCTCCACCCCCCCCCCCTTCCTGGGCAATCACCCATCTTTTCACAGCAGTTTTCAGAATGTCTTAGGGTTGGGAGGCAGAGGGAAGAGAAAAAGAGGAAAGGAGAGAGGGAGATATGGAAAAGGAGTTGGAGGGAGAGAGAGGGGTATAGGGGGAGAGGGAAACGGAGAGGGAGATCTTTCTCTTATAAGGCCACAGTCCTAGAGCCTCACCGTTATAACCTCATTTAACCTGGTTGCTTCTCAAAGACCACCCTATCTCTGGATGCAGTCACATTGGTGGTTAGTACTTCAGTGTTTAAATTTTTTTTGGGACATAACACACAGTTTGTTTATTTCCCTGTTGAAGGACATCTTGGTTGCTTTAAGATATTGACAATTGTATATAAAGTTGTTATAAATATTCAGGTGTAGGTTTTTGTGTGGATGTACGTTTTTAGACCCTTTGGGAAAATACCAGGAGCCCAGTTGCTGGGTCATATGGTGAGAGTATATTTAGTTTTGTGAGTCTTCCAAACTGTCTTCAAAGTGACTGCAGCATTTTGCACTCCCACCAGAAATGAGTGAGTCCTGTCGCTCCACATCCTCACCAGCTTGGATGTTGTCAGTGTTTTGGATTTTAGCCATTTTGATAAGTGTGTTGTGGTATCTCGTTGCAGTTTTAACCTTACTTTCCCTGATGAGGGATGATGTGGAGCATTTTGCCACGTGCTTATTGGTCATCCACGTGCCTTCCCTCCCCTCCTTCCTTCCCTCTGTTCCTGCCCCCACCCCTTGCATTTGCACAAACACCCCCTCCCTCCCAAGATATATGTACCAAGATCAGGGGCTTCCATGTGCACTGATGTTTCTCTTAAACTTCAGTCTGTTCTGGAGGTTGTGTTTGCCTCTTGCACCGACCAAACCTGACTCTGATGATGCTGCTTTCCCCGAAACCCTGGCAGTGGTGGCTGTTTTTATTCTCAGAACCTTTTTACCATTAGGCTTCTGAAGGTGAGATGCGTGTCTTCCTTGTTTTCACTGGTACCTTTGTCTGCTTTCATCCGCCCTAAAAATATCCAGATTTCCATCTCAGGCTGTCACAGTGTCCTGTCTCCTCCCTCTCCCTGTTACAGTCGTCTGCTCGTTCCTGGTTCACTCTTTCTCCCTTTTTGGAAAGTTTTATTTCCTAGCTTGTAGTCACTTTCTCCAGCACCCCATCTGTCATGATTCTTGGTGATTTCCGTGTTCTCAGAGAAGATCCTTTAGATATCTTGCCCTCTCCTCTCTTGGACTTCTGCACCGGTTACCTTGCCTTCTGCCCTTGTCATTACCAATAACATAATCTCAGTCTCAGACATCCCCCCCAGCCTCCTCCCCCATTAGTGCTGCTATTCTAATACACCTTCCATGCTGCTGAGATGCTGCCATATTTTTAGTCCTGCATCCTCTCTGTGTCTCCGTCCCCACCCAGTTTGTGTTCCCTGGACAGTCATAGCAACCACTCCCTCGTGCCTCGGTGTCCTCACTCTCCTGTTGGCAGTTCTTTCTGGGATAAACACAACCTTAGTTATATCCAGTCTGCCTACCCCATGTCTGCCTCCTGGAGCTGAATGTGGCTGAAAACAGCAGTGAGCCCTGCTGACCGGCCTCATTTTTACCTGCAGCACTAACCCGGAACAGGCCTTTAAGTGTTACCTGGATGCTCATATTTCCCTGGTCCTCTCAGGCTCACTTCAGAACTTCAGTGCTTCCCCCATCCTCTGAAGCAGAGCGCACTCCCAAAATCTCCCCACATCTGCCGCCACCAGCATGCCTGCATCTTCTGCTGCTGGGGCGAGTGGGCCGTGGACCCTCCTTTATTCAGGAGAGTTGCTGAGCACCTCGTGCTTCTCATTCCTCTCCACCAGGTCGTCTCTGTCAGGTAACACGTGGTTGCTTCTCCCATCGAGACTGAGCTGTTACTTCCCCTCTAGCTGCCTCCACACTTCTCCTTTTACAGCCTGTCCCTCCTTTCCTCGATGCGGATCAGCCATGCCACCCTTCATGCCGAGCCAGAGGCAGCATCAGAATTGGTGTTAGTAGTGTCCAGAAAGCCACTACCAGTTAGTCCTACATGGCATGACACCTATTTTCAAATCCCTGGTGTAAGGATTGAGTTCACAGGATAAAACTTAAGTGGCCAACAACGTACACATTAGAAACCAGCTTTGAACTGGCGCCATTCACACTGCTGGGGTTTGCCAGTGACAGTGAACGACAGTAGTACTATCAGTAAGAGTGGCAGCTGTAGCCCCATGCTTGGATTGACAGCTCACCTCTGTGCTTTTCTTCTGTCCTAAGATTCTGCTTTGTTTGCTGAGCTTGGCTGTTTCACGGACACTGGTGACCTGCACTTGGATGCCACAGATGAAACCTACGTGAGTACCAGCTAGGGGAGAGACACTGGGTTGTGACATTTTATTGTTACCCCAATTATTGCAATAAGGCTTCAAGACAACAGGGTCAGGCTAATTATTTAAGTTTAAATAACATTAAGTATGAAGTTAGTAGCCATTTTGTAGTCAGTAAATTTAGGATTGTAGAAATTGTATTGGTCTTGGTGTGCTAAGACTAATTCTAAGTCCCCGTGTGGCTCAGAGGTGGGAAGAGGTCACTTGGAAAAGTTACTTCGCTGCCTGCTTCTTGGTTTGTGTAGTTCCTGCATGAGGGAAACAGTGGTGTGAGTCACAGCCCCAGTCAAGCAGAACTTACTGACTTTTTAAAAGTTGTGTATCTATAGTGTAGAGTGTAGGACGCTCTGAAACTCAGGTATGTCCTTGCTTTTTGCCTGCGGTCCACAGAGACCCGGGTTTGGTTCCCACTAAGGGCATGTACCTTGGCTGCAGTTTGTCCCAGCCCTGGTTGGGTTATGCGGGTGGCGGCCACTCGATGTGTCCCTTTCACGTCGATGTTTCTCTCTCTCTCTCTCCCTCCTGCTCTATCTGAATAAAAAATGGAAAAATGTCCTCGGGTGAGGATTAAAAAAAATATATATCTTGCTTCCTTGGTGGGGTTCTCAGACATTTCTCCAAGGGAAGTTTAGCGGTTATCTTACTGTGAAAAAAAGAGTAAAAACACACACTATATTTTATAATCGGCACATGGGATTTTAATGGTTTATATTACTTTTGTGAGCTGCTTAGAATGTGGTCTCTGGATTAAATTGGCTTAATACTGACTGGGACCTAAGCAGCTGATATTCTGTTACAGCCTCTGCCAGCCAAACCGTTCAGAAACGGTGCAGTGAATTGGAAACATCCAGGGAAATATGGTCCTGATTTCATGATTAACATTCTTCCCTTACACAAGTCACCTGGTCTCCAGCTCCTCAGCTGTCCTAGCGGGCAGTGGGCGCCGGAGCAGATGGTGCTGAGGCCGTGTCAGCCGAGAAGTGTGCCAGTTTCTCCCCCACAGCGGTGCTCTCCCGGGAGAGGTCCCTGAAGCGCCAGAGCACACAGGTGCCAGCAGGTTTCCCCTGATGTAAAGTGGGCCTGTTACGTTCCACCAGGTACAGTTCTTACGCTGTGGAAAGTATTAGTCTGTTTGGCTGAAGACTGAGTGAGAGGGTCCTAGGCAGGTCGTGACCTGTCAGCTGGCACCTGGCTGAGCTCACTCACTGCTCAGTGACTTAGGCCAGGGAAGGTGCAGGGCTTTCTGGTTGCTGAAAGTACAGGGCTGCCTGATTTTTTTTTAATCCTCACCCTAGGACTTTTTTTTTTGCATTTATCTTGAGATAGAGTGAGAAGGAGAGAGGGAGGAAGAGAGAAACATCGATGTGAGAGAGACACATCGAGTGGTTGCCACCCACACAACCCTAACCGGGGCCGGGGACAAACTGCAACCGAGGTACATGCCCTTAGCGGGAACCGACACTCTAACCAGTGAGCCAAACCGGCCAGGGCAAGGGCTGCCTGATTTTTTGATGTGTGGATTCAGATAAGAGAAAAAAGCAAAGGAGATTGGTTTAAAAAGTGGTTCTTTCATGATCTAAGCAGCTTTTTCTGTTTTTTTTTCCACATGGACTTGTATATACTCTCTTTATGTAAGTTGTACTGTATTTACTCAGTTATGGGCATTATGATCAAAACACAGTTTCCCTTCTCTCCTACATTCTCGATGAAAATAAACCACGTGGTAGACATTTTGAAATGACAGTGTATTCTAGGAATTATCACCAGATGGTGGTTAATAAGTGCTGGACGGATCTTTGCGGTCCTCCTGAGGCGCTCTCTGCTGTCACTTCTCGTGTCTGTCCCACCGAGTGGATGCTGCCTGCCTTCTGACTTTGCTGTGCCGTTTGTGTTTGACATTCACTTTGTCCTCCTCTTGACCAGACACTACGTAGCAGTGGTGCTATCTTGATCTCCAACTCACACGAGGTCTCTGAAGCCACGTGGCAGTTCTCTGTTTGTGTCTATGGTATAGATGGTCATCAAGATGGCCCAGAGTAGGCTTATGTTCAAGAAAAAATTATTGCCCTGGCCGGTTTGGCTCATCAGTTAGAGCGTCGGCCTGCGGTCCAGAGAGACCCGGGTTCGGTTCCCGCTAGGGCATGTGCCTCGGTTGCAGTTTGTCCCCGGCCCTGGTTGGGCCCTGCGGGAGATAGCCACTCAATGTGTCCCTTTCATATCGATGTTTCTCTCTCTCTCTCTCTTCCTCTCTCTCCCTCCCGCTCTATCTGAACAAAAAATGGAAAAATGTCCTCAGGTGAGGATAAAAAAAAAAAGAAATAATTATTATGTAAATGAAAAGAAACCAAGAATCTCTGTAAGGGGCCTGTGACCCTGATTGAACAACCAGGTTTTATCTTCTAGGATTAAACAAATTTTAGAAATTGTACTTTAGGAATTTGAAAAGTACAGGACAGTATGAAAAAGAAGAAAGGGCCCCATCCTCCCGTGGGTCTCTTCCTTCTTGCTAACCATCTCACTTGGGCAAATCTGAAAGTTCAGGTAAAGTCCCAGTGATTGCTGCTGGCCTTTCTCGTGTGTCTCTTCTTCCACTGTCTGCAGAGAGGATGTAAGTGGGCGTTTGCTTTGAGTCCTTTTCCTTAACGACAGCAGGAAAATCTCCATTTTGCTGCATGTGCCTTATGACAGACATATTTTGTGAGTCTTGTATGGGTCTGTTCCCACTGAGGAGAACAGGGCCAGTGGTCTTCCTGGTTGTTTCTCCTGTGCTCTGGTACCTGCATTGATCTCGGGGTTCCCCAAGGTGAGGGCTCAAGGTGAACCGATTGACTTAGAAAATTATTTTTACTAAGTTGGGTAATAACAGTTATATTATTTATGGCAAATTGCATATGATAGTTTAATTTCTAGATGCATATATTTTATTCTAATATTCTTTTTCCTAATTTGAAACCTACAGGAAAACAATTTTGATACCCTTGATTTTGACTTGGATTTGATGGCTTGGGAGACAGGCATTTGGGACATGAACAACCATTTCTGTACAGGTAATGATGAATTCATTGGTATCAACTTTAAATGGATCCATTATATTGTTGAAATTAGGTTGTGTTATGGGGTTACTCTGATGGGTTAAAAAATTTCAGGGACTGTATGTTCTGTTTGTAGCGTGGCAGTATACACATGGATTCTTGCCAGAGTGGAGATAAGAGCCTGATAGTTACGTTTCAGTCACGTACATGAGTAAAGAATTCATATCAGAAATACTGGTTTTGACTTATATGTAATCTCTTTATAAGAGATTAACCTGAGAGCCAGACAGGAAATCAAAGGGAGAAGCCTGGGGTTACCAGAACTTAGGAACTTGGTGTAGGGCCCACGTGTGTGGTTATGTACTCTGAGGGGGCGCTCCCTGGCCATGGAGGGGGGCTTGAGTGTGCAGACAGAATCTGGGGCCTGTGGCAAGCCATCACTTCGGTGCAACTGATAGAGGATGAAGACTCCTTCCCCCTTCTCCCACCTGTCAGTGTCCTAGGGTCCCTACTGCCAGGTGCTAATGAAAGCCAGCTGGGTCTGCATGAATGGTTTGCCTCTCAGACACAGGAGGTGGACTCAGAGCTGAGAGATAGGGCAGAGAAGCGGCACATCCCCATGTGGGCTGCGGTTCTCCCCACTGGCACCTCCTCGTCCCTTCATTTGGTGTATTTGTGTTTGTTGCTCGATGCCTGCCTTCCCTTAGAGCACGTGGGCTGCTCAGCGCTGGTGTTCTGGTCACTGTGGTTGTGTAGTAAACGACCCCAAAGCTTAGTGGCTTGAAACAACCACCATGTTGTCATGCTCCCAGACTGGGTCGGGAGTTGGGACAGGTGTACCAGGAACAGCGTGTCTCTGCCCCACGGTGTGCAGACCTCAGCTGGGGAGATCGGAGGCTGGGGCAGCTTGACATCTCGGGGCTATAAGTTTGTTAGGTTTCCTTAGCCACGTGTCGGAGGCCTGGTCTGGAAGACTTGGAGACGAGGGCCTCCCACTAGTGCCCCACATGGCCTTCCTCTGCGTGAGCCTTGCCTTGCTCACGGCAGGCTGTGCCACAGCAGTTTGACCTCAGAGCCTCCAGTGGGAGTGTTCGGCACACAGACCAGAATTCACACAGCGCTGTTGCTTAGGGGTCAGGAGCCACCTGGACCAGACGGGGAGCACACTCACTCCTAGGTGGGGAGGAGGCAGGTCCCCGTCTGCATCGTGAGAGATCGTGAGGTGCTTGTAGCCAAGTAAGGGTCGACCGCTTTCTCATGTAGAATTTTCACTCAATGATAAACTTTGGTCATCTTAGCTTCCCCCAAATTGAATTTTAAGAGGAGGCTTTATCTTCTTTCTTGTTCAGGTTTCTCAGAGTTTGTCTTGTCCAGTGGGGAACTTTCACTCCGTGTTTTCAGTTGCAGATATTAAGGCAGAACCTCAGCCATTTTCTCCAGCCTCCTCCAGCTGTTCGCTGTCGTCCCCTCAGTCAGTGGACTCTCCTTCTTCAATCCAGCACGTCCCCGTAAGTAGCAGTCTTTTACCGTGGCCGTGGTTGTAAGCTGCCTGGACAGCCATGGACGGGGAGGCCGTTAACATTTATCGAGTGTGCTCGGAGCCTTATTATCTCATCTGATCCTGAGGAAACTGAGTCTCGAGGCAGGGCCTTGGGGATCTAGAAAGCTGGTCTCCTTGGTTTCGCCCTCCTCCCCTTCACTTATTACTTCTTATCTTCTCTCCTGACTACCCTTTCTTGTCCTTGTTGGAAGAGACATTCTTTGAGGACGTGGAAGGCTGAGGTGGTTGTTTTTGTAAGTCCTCAACCATGAGCCTGGACCGGTCTTAGTTCAGCAATGCCTAGCTCGCATTTTGAGTGGCTGAGACTTTTACAGAAGTCTAGTAGGTCCTTAAACATGATTCTGCTCTCCATCCAGAAAAAAGCTCTGAGGCCAGCGTACCAAAGGATTTAGGTACTTTTTGGAATGAGGAAAGGAAAAGTATAAGGAGAAAAGTTCAAGTTAATGTTTCTGTACATTATATCTGGCAGGCTCTGTGTCTCATCATTTATGAAACCCTCGTGATTCCATGGACATCAAGTGTCTAGGGTTCATGTTCTTGGCCCTGCCAGCTCATTATCATCTCACCTACATCAAGTTAGCAGGACCATAACTGGTCCCTCTGCCCCCCACTCCCCAAACCATTATTAGAGGGATATTCCACGAGAAGTCTATCAAAATCATAATTTCATCATGTCAGTTCTTTGCTCAAGACCTTTGAGTGGCTTCGCAACCCCTCTGGGGACGAGATCCATGCTCCCAGTGCTGGGCCCTTCGTGCCTGGCCTGCTTGCCTCCAGTCTTGTTTATACTGTTTCTTCCTACCTGCACACCCCCTGTGCTTAACCTGTGAGCATTCCCACCTGAGAGTTCATGCAGCCACTGACTCCACCTTTTGTTCTTTTTCTTTCAGTATCAATGGAGAATGCTTATCTGTCTGTAGTGTCTTAGTACTTTATGTATAAAGTTTCTGATAAGTCACACCTTTGCCTTGGAGTTGTCTTGAATGGTTTCTGTTTCTGTGTGGGTCTAAGTCATTTCTGCCCCAGGTCTGTTCTTCTGTGTGACTCGTGTTTGATTTTGCTACAGGAGGAGCTGGATTTGTCCTCCACCTCCCAGCTGTCTCCCCCTTCCCTCTATGGGGAAGGCACCAGCGGTCCCTGCCCAGCCGAGCCACCAAAGGAAGACGAGCCCATCGCGGGTCCCAGGAGCAAAGCAGGTATTACCCACCTCCCGATGGTGCCACTTGTGTTCTAGCCTGAGCTCAGGCCCCATTTCTCAGACGAAAGCATTGGGTCAAGTGTGTGGTTATTAATCCGGCTGTGACTTGTTGTGGAGGACCGGTGTGGAGAGGACAGGGAAAGAGTCCTCTTCTTGGTTGTCTGTGTCTTTAGAGGTGAAAGAGACTTGACAGCAGACCCAGGCCCCATCACCTTCAGGTTAAGAGGCTGGCTGTGACTTCTGCTACTTTTGACCTGCAGGCTGTGGTCCGTGGTTACTGTGCTTCTGCACAGCTCATGCACCCTCCCAAAAGCTGCAGCTCAGCCAGCAGGGAGGACCTCGTTCCACTGAGATGAGCGAGTCCTGGGATGACATGGACAGCATGGCGACTGCACTTAATGATACTGTTTTGAAAATTGCAGGGAGAGTATTTAAAAGTTCTCATTATAAGAAAGATAACTTTGTAACTATATATGGACAGATGTTAACTAGACTTAGTGTGATTATTGGGTGATACAGATACTGAATCATTACATTGTGTACCTGAAACTAATATACTGTTAGATTCAATTATACTTCAATAAAAATAAAGGACTTTTTTCAGTCCATTAAGGTATGGGGTAGCTATGTTTAAACTTCAGCTAAAGACTCAGAGGTCAAGATATAGAGAAAGGTGTATAATAGAATCTGTTTTCTAAGATTTGCTTGTCTTTGGATTGATTTGTGGTTTGATTTTTCTCCAGAAAATGGACTGACTCCAAAGAGAAAACTTCAGATGAATTCAAAACCTTCCGTTCAGCCCAAGCCTTTATTGCTTCCAGCAGCACCGAAGACTCAGACGAACTCCAGCATCCCGGCGAAAGCCATCATTATCCAGGCACTGCCCACACTGATGCCGCTGGCCAAGCAGCAGCCGGTTATCAGTATACATCCTGCGCCCACTAAAGGTACCCGGAGCGCCTCTAGCTGTGTGGGGGTGACTAAAGCCACGTGACACTGTAGTCCAGGTTATGATCTGCAAGCACATGCCATGTGCCAGGAACTGACCTTGGGTCTAGGGTGTGCAGATGGCGAACCTGTGGTCCCCAGCGAGGGAGGGGCTGTGCAGATCGGTCCCTGGCATGTCTTCCCGCTTCCAGCTTTAGTGTGACAGGCTGGCGGCTTACACGGCCACTTGTGATGAAGAAGGAACTCTGGGAAACTCCCTTGGTGATATTTTATCCTGAGACTTCTGTGGACTTTCTCTTTTTAACGAGAGGTCATTGTTGAGGCAGTGTGGCCCATGTCAGGTCTGGTGGGTGTGTTGTGGCACAGAGTTGGACTCTTACTCTCTGAAGTGTGGACAGTCTGGAGCAGCTTTGGGGACCTGAACTCGGTCTCCAGTTAGTCAAGACCATGTGTTTCTACATTTCGTCCACCAGGTGGCCGCACACACTTGGTTCTACAAGAGTAAGTTGAGGTCAGTATTGAAAGATGCTCAAGTTTAAGGCTTTGTAGTGTTGAGGTTAGGAGTCATTGGCTCACTGTGGTCGTCCGGCAGGTGACTCCTTACCGCCCTCACACTGACAGGTGTCCACCGAGTCCAGGGAATCTGTGCAGCGTCTCTTCTGGGTTCAGCTGTCAGTTCCCAGGACGACAAGGTGTTCATGGGGTACAAGTTGTCAGTAAACTGCTCGGCCGGTGTGGCTCAGTGGTTGAGCGTCGACCCTGCACCAAGAGGTCTCTGGTTCTATTCCTGATCAGGGCACATGCCCAGGTTGTGGGCCAAATCCCCAGTTGGGGGTGTGCAGGAGGCGGCCAGTTGATGTTCTCTCTCATCATTGTTTCTCTCTCTCCCTCTCCCTTCCTCTCTGTAAAACCAATAAAAATATATATATATTTTAAACAAGTTGTCAGTAAACACAATGCTGCCTTTGCTTTTTTTTTTATCCTCACCTGGGGACAGTTGCATTTATCTTCAGATAGAGGAGGGAGAGAGGGCGGAAGAGAGAGAGAGAAACATCGATGTGAGAGAGACACATCATCCGTGGCCACCCACATGACTCCAACCGGGGCTGGAGACACACTGCAACTGAGGTACATGCCCTTAGTGGGAACCGAACCCAGGACTCTCTGGTCCATGGGCTGATGCTCTAACCACTGAGCAAAACCGGCCAGGGCTGCCTTTGCTTTTATGGCTGTTTTTCCAGCTCTTGCTTGTTGGCTCATTTCTTTGGACTACAGTTTTAATGAGGGCCAGGTCATAAGTTTGATTTCCAGGTAGCTTTGTTCTGTTTCTCGGTCAGAGACAGTATGTCATGGATGTGAACAACTAGGGGAGAGATGGCCTGGATGCAGACCACCTGAAGCAGCTGCCTCTCGTGCAGGTCAGACTGCTGCCCCTCCGTGTGCACAGCTGTTCTTGGGCCTCTGAGTGGAGGTCGCGTGTCCGTGAACTCCTTGGCATAAGATGCAAGACCTAGTTTCTGTCAGCAGTGGACTAGTCTAGGGCCCTGGGTGGTGGGAGAGAAGTCTGGGAGTCTGCTGCCGTGCACAGTGCTGCTGGAGGCACCGTCGGCGCTGTGTCCTGAGTCTGTGCTGCTTCAGGGTGTGGCTGCAGCTCTGGTCAGCAAGCCATAGACCAGTCACTTTTATTTTTTGGTTAGTCCTCACCTGAGGACACTTTTTCCCTTTGGTTCTTAGAGAAAGGGGAAGAGAAGAAGGGAGAGAAAGAAGCATTCATGTGATAGAGACACATCGATTGGTTGCCTCCCACATGACCCCAACCAGGGCCGGGCCTCAAAACTGCTACTGAGGTACATGCCCTTGACTGGGAATCAAACCCGCAACCCTTCAGTCTGCAGGCCGATGCCTAACCACTGAGCCAAACACAGACCATTTAAACTTATTGTTAAGTTCTTAATAGGCTTTTCTCGTCACGCATTTCTCAGTCCAGAGATTGCGGGGCGATGTGGTGTTTGTGATGTGGAACTAAGCTTCGCGCTCGGGGTGGGACCCGGAGTGAGTGTTACTCCATGACGAGCGTGTCCTCATCACGTTGACTAATTTCTTAGTCAGTGTCATTAAAAGACCAACACTTGGTCATACGCTACTTATTTTATTCATTAATTACTTTTACTTGCATGTTTGTCCTGAGCCTGTTCATAGCCGCTTATGAGTCATTTCCTCATTTTATGTTTTCATTTCATAAAAGGAGTTAGTCCAAGAGAAAATGAGAAGATAAAAATGTTTAGTGATCATTTATGCCCAAGTAAATTGTGCATAATACAAAGCTTTGAAATTATTGGAAGTTTCTTACTAATTTACTAATTTATCTGGGACAAGATGCTGTTACGTCCTGCTCCCTTTAGCATGCTTCGAGACCATCTAAAACAGCACTTTGTATCGGCGTGATTTCTTTCTTTAAGCAGACAGATGTTCTTAACAGACAGGTGTTCGCAGGTGTTAGTTGATGTTTTGTGTCCCTCGGCCCCTGGAGACGCGAGCTGAGCTCACGTGGCTCATGCTGCACTGCAGACAGCGTGAGGCTTCTCCCCAGAGGCAGGCTAACCATGCGGCGTTTCTGTTGCCGGGCACTGTGTGTGCTGGTACACGCTGCCGTGCGGGTGTGAGGCGAGGCTTTCCGCACCCGATGAACTCGACCAGGTCTGCAGGGAAGGGCTCAGCAGGCCAGTGAGTCTTTACTGGACGAGCGTTAGGGTTACGTGGGTCTCTCAGTCTGTGGATGCTGGTTCTGCTTGGATTAGTGTAATTTAAAAGTAATGCTACATGTGAAGATTAAGAAAAGGTTTGTAGGCCACTGTTTTGGGTGGGGAAGGGAGTCTTTGTCTACAGACTGTTGAATTACACATTTATGCTTCCTGTGCTTAATAGCGAAGAATTCATCTCAAATGGTTTTAATGTTTTTGATATTCGTAGCCTTCCATTTTTCCAAGCATTGAGTTAATGACTCTCTGTTTATATATACATATATATAATTTTTGGTGTTGTATTTCTAAATCTCACTGATTTGAAATATATAGTTCTCTGTGTCAGTATAAAATATTTGTTTTTTTTGCCCTGGACGGTTTGGCTCAGCGGTTAGAGCGTCGGCCTGCGGTACAGAGAGACCCGGGTTCGGTTCCCGCTGGGGGCACGTACCTCGGTTGCAGTTTGTCCCCGGCCCTGGTTGGTCGTGTGGGTGGCAGCCACTCGATGTGTCCCTTCATGTCGATGTTTCTCTCTCTCTCTCTTCCTTCCTCTCTCTCCCTCCCACTCTATCTGTACAAAAAATGGAAAAATAGCCTCGGGTGAGGATAAAAATAAAAATACTTGTTTTTAAAAAATGTATATGAAAATTAATATTAATTTTTATATTGAAAAATTAATTAAAATTAATATGAAAAATTCCTTTAGCACTAATACATTTCAGGTTAGTACTTAGGGTAATCTATGTATAACTTAGCAAATTTTATGTGTGGATAGTTGAGCAAAATAAATGGAATTATACTTTTTTTTTTATCCTCACCCGAGGACACTATTTAATTTTTTGTTCAGATAAGAGTGGGAGGGAGAGAGAGGAGGAGAGAGAGAGAAACATCGATGTGAAGGGAACACAACGAGTGGTTGCCACCTGCATGACCCAACCAGGGCCAGGGACAAACTGCAACCGAGGTACATGCCCTTAGTGGTCACCGAACCCTTGTTTCTCTGGACTGTGGGCTGATGCTCTAACCGCTGAGCCAAACTGGCCAGGGCTGGGATTATACTGTTGATGTTAGCTTGAAAGGGAAGGGATCTGGTTGGGTTCGTTAACCAGGACAAGGGAAGTCATCGTGAATGTGTGCTGCTGCCTGTTCGAGAGGGTGGTTTCACATCCCCCAGTGTGAGCTCACCTGTCGCTCTACCTGAGACCAGACCTCCCTGTTGAACAGCTCTCCCTGCCACAAAGCAGTGTCCCTCTGACCCCTGTCTTTTCTCTCCATAGGTCAGACCGTGGTGCTGTCTCAGCCTGCCGTGGTACAGCTGCAGGCGCCCGGGGTCCTACCCTCTTCCCAGCCTGTCCTGGCGGTCGCCGGGGGAGCCACACAGCTCCCTAATCACGTGGTCAGTGTGGTGCCGGCCCCTCTGGCCAGTAGCCCAGCGAATGGAAAACTTTCTGTGGCTAAACCTGTCCTACAGAGCACTGTGAGGAGTGTGGGCTCAGATGTAAGTTTTGACACTTAGTGCTTTTTAAATGCTTGACTTAAAAGCAAGAACAAACACACTTCTGTGTTTGTTTTTTAAAGTTTGTTTCAGTGTGTCCATGTGCTGAAATTGCAGGTCCAGTCTTTGGTGGAAACTAGGGCAGGTGTGAGCATATCAGGGAAGGTAGCCGGTCTGCAGCGATCTGATGAGGGGTATCACGCCTCCTTGCTGTCTGCCTCCCGAGCCTCTGCTCGTCCCCACCCCAGTCCTTCACTAGTACTTCCTGATTGAAGTGTTGTTGGCAACTCACCAAAGACTGGTTTGTAGATGACTTTAGTTAGTGTTTGTATTTAGTGTCGCTTGGCTGACGGGAGGGTTTTTGGCATGGCATAAAGATGGCTGCCAGCCCTGGCCGGTTGGTTCAACGGTTAGAGCGTCGGCCTGCGGACCAGAGAGTCCCGGGTTCGGTTCCCGCTAAGGGCACGTACCTTGGTTATAGTTTGTCCCCAGCCCCGGTTGGGGTCTTGTGGGTGGCATCTACTCTGTGTGTCTCTCTCACATCGATGTTTCTCTCTCTCTCTTACCCCCCCTCTCTGTCCTACTCTATCTGAAGATAAATGCCAAAAAAAAAAGAAAAAGATGGCTGGCTACTCTGCAGATTCTGTCTCTTGATGGTTATTTGGTACTTTCCCATCTTTACAAACCTTCACATTTCCTAGTATGTTGCAGAGATTTTTTAATAGTTTATAAATCACAGAAAGTTTCCTACAATCTGCCACTCCCTAAAACCAGTTACAGCACTTGCCAGCTACTTCTTGCTTTCTTTAAAAGTGAAAAAATACCGCCCTGGCCGGTTTGTCTCAGCAGTTAGAGTGTTGGCTGTCAGATCAAAGAATCACGGGTTTGATTCCGGCCAAGGGCACGTACCTTGGTTGCAGTTCATCCCCGGCCCTGGTCGGGGTTGTGTGGGAGGCAACCAGTCCATGTGTCTCTCTCATATTGATGTCTCTCTCTCTCTCTCTCTCTCCTTCTCCCTCCCTCCCTCCCTCCCACTCTACCTAAAGATAAATGGGAAAAAATATCCTCGGGTGAGGATTAAAAAAAAGTTAACAAATACCTTATGTTATGTATAAACAGTAGTTGAACATTGTGGTCTAAAGTTTAACAAAAGTTAAAGTCAAATGATCATTCTAACAGTATATTCTTTTTATTTTAATTATTTTTTCTTTATCGATTTTTAGAGAGGAAGGGGGAGAGAGAGAGAGAGAGAGAAACATTGACGAGAGAGAACATTGATGATCTGCCTCCTGCATGCCCCCCATTAGGGATGTGGCCCACAACCTGAGCACGTGCCCTGACCAGGAATCGAACTGGTGACCTCTTGGTGCATGGGTCAATGCTCAACCTCTGAGCCACATTGGCCGGGCAAAGTAGATTCTTTAAAACTGTGATTGGGAGCCCTGGCTGGTTTGCTCAGTGGTTAGAGCATCAGCCCACGGACCAGAGAGTCGCAGGTTCGTTTCCCGCTAAGGGCATGTGCCTCAGTTGCAGTTTGTCCCCAGCCCCAGTTGGGGTTGTGTGGGTGGCAGCCATTCGATGTGTCTCTCTCACATCGATGTTTCTTTCTCTCTCTTCCTCCCTATCTCCCTCCTTCTCTATCTGAATAAATGCAAAAATGTTCTCAGGTGAGGATAAAAAAAAAAAAAAAACAGAAAAAACCTGTGATTGGGAAAGGAAACCCCATATGTTTTCTTTGAAATAAAAGTGGGCATTGCCCTGGCTGGTGTGGCTTAGTTGGTTGGACGTCATCCTGTGCACTGAAAGGTTGCCGGTTCGATTCCCAGTCAGGGCCCATGGGTTGTGGGATTGATTCCCTGTGAGGGGTGAGCAGAAGGCAGCTTGTCGATGTTTCACTCTCACATCCATGTTTCCCTCCCCCCACCCCCCTAAAATATAAGTAAAAATATTTTTTAAAAAGTAGGTATCACTGGTTGTAAACATTGCTACTCAGCCTTTCTCGGGTGTTGCGAAGGTATCTGACATGCTGTGAGTTGTGTGAGGTTTGCCGTCCTCCTGGTGAGCCACCGGGATTGAACCAGCACCTCAGTAGCCATCGGGTTGTGAAACTGCTCCGCTGCTTTGGACAGCAGCGTTGATCTCGGGCAGCAGTGCGTGGAGCCTGCCGAAAGGACTGTGATGTGTGGACGTGGAGGTCCGAGTCCTCCAGCAGCTCCCAGCCTTCATCAGGGCGCTGTAGACGTGCATGCCAAGACACAGGACAGCGTGTCTGGAGCAGACGTGTGGGACCCATGTCTGCTGAGGGGGCGGTGGCCGCCCGGCAGCACTGGTGTGCGCTTCGGGAAGGCGGGTGCTGGCGCCAGGATCCGCCCTGAGGCCTCTCCGGGAGCACAGGAGGAGGGGGCCGGGCAGATGCTGGTAATCACTGAAGCTGGCTGTTGTCTCTCTTTTTGGTGTTTGGGAAAATTTCTACAATAAGTAAATGAATAATAACAAAAATCTAAAAACGTTTTATGATATTTTAATTAAAAAGTTGTACAACCAATAAAAGTATTCTGTTCACAGGACACGGAGGAGGGGGAGATTGTAAAAGAAGATTCTAAGAAACGACCCTTAAAATTTGCTTTCAATTACGAACTTGAATGTTTCCCGTGATGCTCCCAAATAGAACCAGCAGCAGAAAATGTTCAAAGCTGTTGTTTTATAATGTGTCAGGACATTTAAAATATTTATGATGAAATATTTTAGACATGAAAAAGTTAATGACTGAATAGAACTTTAGGAACCATAGATCCACAGTATATCACGTTTGTGAACAAACATTGACGTTAATCTTAGTCTGCATTCGTAGGACTAGAACAGCTGACCATGGGGCAGTCCAGGGTCTCAGCCAAGCTGGGCGGATGTCTGGAAGCCGTGTCTTCGGTAGAGGATGTCAGGGTGGGCGTGGCTCAGCAACGCGGGGAGCAGGGCTGACAGGAAATGGAGGTGTTCATGTGCACAGTGGGCTCCCTGTCCTGAGGACGCCTAGAACAGGTGCCAGCAGGTTCGGGGAAGGCCCCTCAGTCCTCAGAGTCTTTGATCCAGGCCTGTGCCTGGCATCTGAGCCACGAGCGTCTCCCGTGGGCGGTGGCCGTGCGCGCTGCTGCCCGCCTGCGTCCGGAAGCATCTCAGTGAGGCTGCTGGTCTGCGAGCCCGACTCCTTCGTAGGCTCTTGGTGTGAGGACTGAGCGCGTCTGCGTTGCCTCTGCTGTGAGAGTGCAGGGGCTCGGTGACCGTCTCCTGGGGAAGGCGGCGTGGAGGGGCGGGGGCAGGGCAGACGAGAGAGTGCAGGACCCACGAGGGCTTCTTCCACAGTGTGGACCGGTCAGCATCCTCGCTGCCTCTCAGAGCTTACAGTTGAGGACTGAGCGCGTCTGCGTTGCCTCTGCTGTGAGAGTGCAGGGGCTCGGTGACCGTCTCCTGGGGAAGGCGGCGTGGAGGGGCGGGGGCAGGGCAGACGAGAGAGTGCAGGACCCACGAGGGCTTCTTTCACAGTGTGGACCGGTCAGCATCCTCGCTGCCTCTCAGAGCTTACAGTTGCCGTCACTGTAGAAGAAAGCTTCAAGTTCTGTGTCCACAGCAACAGGAGTGACGATGGTCAGGTCAGGTTCCTGGGCAGCCTGCGTGGAGGTCTCTGTGCTCATTTTTCCTTGACCAGCGTGTCAGGGAGCAAGCCGAGCCTCCTCAGGGCCAGCTTGCTGGTAGGGGTTTGACTTCATGTTTATTTCAAGTAAAGAGACGTCAGTCAGGCCCGTCGGCCGGCCAAGACACCCAGGAGCCCAGAGGAAACGTTCCAGAAGTGGCTGCAGGGAGCTGGGCCTGCTCAGAGCGTCCCTGGTGCGCTGGTCCCCCTCCCTAGTGCACGTGTCTGTTAGACCAAGTCCTGCTCAGTTACAAGACCTTGGACTGGCATAAATTCCTGATTTAAAATGGCCAAAAAAGAAAAAAATTTCATTATGTGCTTTTAAACAAAAAGGGTGGTGAAAAGTTGCAATTCAGCCAAAAAAAAAAAAAAAAGAAAAAGTGTGTCAGCCTTCCGTGGCTCTGTAATGCTGACATGGCTCCTTTTCCCTTCCTCTGTTGTTCATTTGCTGGCCAGCGGCTCACTGGGCATTGCCCCGAGTGCGCGTCTGGCGGCCCACACTGCGGTGTGCTGCCGCCCTGTGTCTCCATGAGACAGTCTGCTGGTTCAGATTAGTCCCTCTTTCTTCCTGCCTTTAGCTAGTAAATCTGTTCTGTTTAAGTCTGGAAACCTCACCTAAGTATTCAAGAAGTGTGGTTGTTTTTTGGCTCTGATCCTGATGGAAAAAGTGAACGTCTCGTCTCGGAGTGGAAGTGCGCTCTCTTGCACGTCCCGTCAGGTGGAGGTGCCTTCCCAGGAGAGCACGCTCCCCCGGGCTTCACAGGGCTGACTGCTGCCAGACCTTGCACCCAGGCTTGCAAACAAGCATCTGCTTCCACCTGCAGGACACCTTCTACCCTCCGCCCCTTTCCTCGTAACTCCGTGACGTTCACGAGACTTTCCGGTCCTGGCTTATGGTCGTGAAGTTCCATTGCTTTGGTTATTGGGACCAGAGACAGGAACACAAGTGGTGAGGTTGTGTTTTACGTCTCCCACAGCTGGCCGAGAGGGGGCAGGACCCCCCACGGAGTTAGGAGTAGGAACAATGGAAAGATGCTCTGTCAGCCTCCTGGGTCCTGGGGTAGGTTACAGCTACACTCACGGGGCCCACCTTCCAGCCCCATTTCTTACTCCGAACGTCTTTCCAGTTCTTTACTTGGGGACCTTGAGCCTTCCCATCCCAGTCCCCACCCTTGGGCGACCCTGTGCTGGGTCACCAGAGTCATTACGAGAAGCTAGGTGCCCGCAGCTGTTGGAATGATGTGACGAGGAGCCCCATGGCACACCAGTTGCAGCTTTGTATTACTTTCCCAGAGCTGGTGTTGTACAGTGAGTTTCA